TAAATGGATCTCCAGTGTAGCCCGATGGACAGGAGCATATAGGGTTGTGATTTATTACTTGACACTGAGCTCCCGCTCCACAATTTCCTTTACATGGATCTATGCATCGTTGATTGGAACAAGCTCGACTTAATGGGCATTCTGCACTCGATGTGCACTCAGGTCTACAAGTGGGAGGTGCACCCATATATCCAGAGAGGCAGGAGCAAATAGCTTGACCATTAACTTCACGGCATTGACTGTTGGGCCCACATGGCGATGGGTTGCAAGGCTTTATGACTTCAGTTACCCTGATCGGGCGACATTCAAGGAATGCGTTTCCTGAATATCCTGTTGGACATGTACACATGGGCACATGGTTAAATACGTTACAAATAGCTTCTCTGCCGCATGTATTTAGACAAGGATCGACGCATTTATTCCTGACACAAGCCTTATTATGCGGACAGTCTGTACTCATCAGACACTCTGGTCGACAACCGAAATAAGGATCGCCTTGATATTCTGGTAAGCATGTACAAATGCCATCATTACACAGAGCATTTGCTCCGCAAGGTGACGGATTGCACAAATCAGTTTCCGTGAAAGTTTCTGAAAAAATATGATTTACTTCTGTATTCATAATTTTATCATTTTTGATTATGAAACGTTTGAACATTCAACGTAATTATTGTAAAATAAATAACTTTGCAAATTAACTTACCATCATTTTCTGGTAATGGTAGACAACGGGTAAATGGATCTCCAGTAAACTGTTCAGAACAGCCACATTGGGCAATATGGTTAAACACAGTACATTGTGCATTTACACCACAAGCTCCAGGGCAGGGGTCGCGGCATTTTTCGTTCATACAAGCCTGATTGCTGGGGCATTCAGAGTTTATAGTACATTCTGGCCTGCAGTTAGGTGGACTTCCAATGTAATTATGTTTGCAAGCACACGAAGGAGCATTTCCAATGTTTCGACACTCTGCATATAAACCGCATGGCGATGACAAACACGGATCTTGAGATGGTAGATTTTGGGGCGGTTGTGATGCTAAAAATCCATTAATTGATTATTATACAGGTTTTTAAATAATTTTAAGCCCATTATTTATAACTTATAATTTATAACTACTTTACTTACTTTTGATCGGATAACATTTTGTAAATGGATTTCCAGTTAATCCCTGCTTGCAGACACATATAGGGCTATGGTTGATCACATTACAGTTAGCAAATTCTCCGCACGTGTTTTCGCATGGGTTTACGCATCTTTGATTACTACAAGCCAAATGTGAGGGGCATTCAGAGCTCACTACACATTCAGGGCGACAGTTTGGTGGTGAACCTATAAAACTAGGTAAACAAGAGCATACAGCTTGACCTTTCACTTCCTTGCATTGACTATTTGCTCCACATGGAGAAGGATTACACGGGTTAGTTTCGACTACTTGTGCTGAAAATAATAATTATTGCTTTAAGTTACAATTACCCCAAAACATTTAAAAATAAAGAAAAAAGTATAAATATTCTTACGTTCTTGCATTATATTACAGTGGCTGAATGGATTTCCTGTGTATCCTTGTTGACACAAGCATGTCGGAACGTGGTTTTGCACTTGGCATAGAGCATTTGAGCCACATGTTCCAGGGCAAGGGTCGATACATTTCATTCTAGAACAAGCTCTATTCAGAGGACAGTCAGAGTTAACTACACACTCTGGTCGGCAGCCTTCATAGGGATTTCCCAAGTAACCATCTAGACATTGACATGATCCAACACCTTTTTGTTCTCTGCACACAGCGTTAGATCCGCATGGGTTTGGATTACATGGCGTTAAAACTTCACTCTGGTCCATAACAGTGTGAGGACTGCAGTATGTAAATGGATCACCAGTATAACCAGTTTGACATAAGCACATTGGAGCGTGACTTACAACTCTACACTCGGCATTAGAACCACAAGCGCCTAAGCAAGGGTCTGAGCATTTCTGATTAAGGCATGCTAAATTATAGTCACATTCGCTATTGCTGATGCACTCTGGTCGACAGTTCGGAGGTGTCCCTTTGTAGGTTGGTAAACAAGCACAAATGGGACTCTCTCCACTTATTCTACATATGGAGTGCGGTCCACATGGTGATGGTTCACATGGATTTACTTGTGGTTCCTCAGAAACTGGAATATATTTATAAAATTTGTTAGGGTTGTAAAGTAAAATTTCTTTTTAAAGATATAAATTAATGTGAAATATAATAAATTTCATTATGAAATGAAAAGAAAATACCTGTAACGTAACACCTCAAAAACGGATCGCCAGTAAACGAAGGTGGGCACGTACAAATTGGGTTGTGATTGATAACATCACAAATGGCTGCCGTACCGCAAGCACCGATGCAGGGATTTATACACTTTTGGTTGTTGCAGGCTTCTTTTAGAGGACATTCAAGACTAACAACACATTCGGGTCGACACGTCGGTGGACTACCGCGATATCCTGGTACGCATGAACATACAGCTTGTCCATTCGATGCTTGGCAACGGCTATTGGGACCACATGGCGACGGATTGCAGGGGTTCGTAATAGTTACTGTAAAATGGATTATAAAGTTAAACGTTTAATAAAAATAAATAAATTTTCTTCAAGCTTCTTATATAAAAATGCCATTCATTTTTAGAAAAAATCTCAGATTTAAAGCCTGAAATGGTACATACCTGCTGATACTCTGCATTCTATGAATGCGTTGCCGCTCATACCCTTAGGACACGAACACATGGGTATATGGTTCATAACTTCACAATTAGCATTCAATCCACAAGTTCCAATACAAGGATTTACACACTTGTTTCGTAAACAACCCTTATCCAATGGACAATCTGTGTTATACACACATTCTGGTCGACAGCCAAGGTAAGGATCACCGTGGTATCCAGCAACACAAGAACAAACACCGTTGTTGCAAACGCTGTTCGGCCCACAAGGGCTTGGACGACAAGGATCATTTGGTACAGCCACAGGTACATCTAAAATAAAGAATCGTTGTTATTAAGAGTCCATTACTTCGTGGTAATTTAAAGCAAGTTAATAAATTATACCTTCAATAGGTTTAGGAGTACATTGTCTAAACGGATCTCCTGTAAAGCCATCTGGGCAGAGACAGACAGGCACATGATTATTGACAAAACATTTTGCGTATAAACCACAAGAGCCTTCACAAGGGTTTCGACATTTCTCAGCTTCACATGCTTGATCACTCGGGCAGTCAGAGTGGACAACGCATTCAGGCTTACAGTATGGCGGTGAGCCAGTGTAAGATGGCAAACATGAACATGAAGCTAATCCGTTGTTATCTCGACATTCGGAATATGGACCGCATGGTGATGGCACGCAAGGATTTAAAGGTACCGCTACACTCGGAGTTGTTTCTAAAATAAAAAAATAATAAACCTCATTAAATTTTTTTCACACTAAAATCTTATCATTACACTAAGTAGTAATGATATGAACTTACGCATTATGAGACTACACATAGTAAATGCGTCTCCGGAATATCCCGGCCGGCAAGTACATACTGGACTGTGATTAATTACTTTACATTCTGTATTTTGACCGCATGGCTTCGGGCAAGGGTTAACACAGCGCTGGTTCACGCAAGCCCTATTTGCTTTGCATTCGGAATTTGTCACACATTCCGGCTTACAATTAGGTGGCGAACCCATGTAATTTGGAAGACATGAACAAACTGGCTGATTGTTTACTTCTCTGCATACGGCATTTATTCCACAAGGCGAGGGATTACATACATTTATTACCGCAATATCATATTCTGAAAGAGATTTATATTCATTATAATTTTTATAAATAAGCTTGCTATTTCAATAATTGATAACAACTACTTACCTTTTATGGGATGACAAATTGAGAGTGGCGTTCCTGTATATCCTGGTTTACAGTTACACATTGGTTTGTGGTTCGTGACATAACAGTCTGCATTATATCCACAAACTCCGGGACAAGGATCTATGCATTTATTCCTGTTGCATGCAGAAACCAACGGACAGTCTGAATCAGCTAAGCACTCAGGTCTACAACCTTGGTAAGGGTCACCAAAATAATCAGGCAAACATGAGCATGATCCAGCGTTTCGTTGTACTTTACATTCGGCATTTGCACCACAGGGAGATGGCTCACATGGATTAAGATATTCGACCTTTGGAGGAGCTGAAATATTTTTCAAATAGAATAAATTCACTTACCGATAACATGTCAATCACCGTGGAAGCACGTCCTTGTTCCGAAGCGTTAGTTGAAGCTTGCTGGGCCTGGCGACGTTTAGTGACCTCCATTATCCGGCTTCCGCGTCACTATTTCAAGCAGCACCGTCCAAAAGCGGCCGTCATGATGGACAGCCTAAGCTTTACTGTAAGTGCTATGTTATCTCCGCGTGCTCCGTAATCAAGCAAAAGGCATTATTTCACATTAACAGTTATTCATCAAGTTATATCCCTTCTGGAAGCGAACATCACATCCTAATGTCCATTATATCGGTACCTACCGACCTAATTCGAGGCTTATATTCAAAGCATTCGCATAGGTTCTGTATTAATGTAATTACCTTTAAACCATTTGGTGGGCATGGTCACCGCATAGTCCCAAAGTAAAAACAACCATACAGTCCTATGGTCATTAGTAAACCGTGTGAGGCGTGTACGCTAATTATATTTTCTTATATGACAAGCACGTCATTTAAAGCATGAACTAATTATCACGCTTTGCCAAGCTGAATGGTTATATGCATCTTAATTGGTTGATTTATCAGTTTTCCTACAGCATTATTGTACAAACTTCCGTTTACCTTATTTTAAAAAATATTTTTAATAAAATCTGTACCTACCAAAACCCATCATTTTATACATCATTGAAAACCTTTAAAAACGTTCAGACTTGATCTAAACTTCTTTTGAAAAATACAATTAAAAGGTGTCAAAAATGGAAGAATAATAAACTAGATGATTACCTTTTGGCTGTGAACAGCCTTGGAATGGGTCTCCTTCAAGACCCGGTTCACAAGCGCAGATAGCTCGATGGTCGACCACAGAACATATTGCACGTGGGCCGCAGGCTTGTTCGCAAGGATCTTTACATTTCTGTGCAACGCAAGCTAGGGCCGCAGGACATTCGGCGCTGATTGTACATTCCGGTCGACAATTAGGTGGTGCACCTATAAATCCTGGCTGGCAGCTGCAAGCTGGTGTCTCTCCAGAGTTTATGCAAAGCGAGTTAGGGCCACATGGTGAGGACTCACACGGATCAATTGGTTTTGATGGTGGTGCTACAAAAAATAATTCAATTTAGCGGCAAATTGATGAAATATATAAAACTGAGAAGGTTTTAAAGTTAACAATGTTACCTGGTTTTGGATAGCAATACGAGAATGGATCGCCAGTATAATCTTCATTACATGTGCAAATAGGTGAATGAGCGATAACTTGACAACGCGCGCCTCGGCCACAGGCTCCTTCGCAAGGGTCGCGACATCGGCGATCAATACAAGCCAATTGTAATTTGCATTCAGCGCTGACAAGACATTCAGGACGACACGACGGTGGCGAACCAACGTGTCCAGCTTTGCACGAACAAGCCGCAGCACCATTTTTGCTTACTGAACATTCACTGTACGGGCCACATGGAGACGGCGAACAAGGTGACGTTGAAGGAATATCTACAAGATTTTACATATCATTAAAATAAGTCTGTACGGTTAATGATAAAAAAAATTTAACATTAACCTGACATTATTCATGTTTTTACCTTTTTGGATTTCAGTACACAGATTGAAAGGATCGCCTGAGGTGGATGGAGGACACGTACAAGATGGTATGTGGTTATTGACCGAACATATAGCATTCGTTCCACATGCACCTGGACAAGGATCTACACATTTGCCTCTTTGACACGTCCGTGTTGGAGAGCATTCGCCATTAGTGCTACATTCAAGTCGACAACCGGTATAAGGATCTCCGAAATATCCGGGAGAACAAGAGCACAGTCCTGCATCGCATATTGCATTGCTACCGCATGGTGATGGATTACAAGGATCTTGTGTGATGGGAGGAGTTTCTGTAAAATGGAAACAAATTATTTAAGAGTTGTCTCTAATTCCTAAAGAAATATTTTGTAACAAATATAAATCCCTGTATTAGATGGATATTACATGTATTTACCTATAACTTCCGTGCATTGTATGAATGGATCACCAGAGTAGCCAGTGGGACAGCTACAAATTGGTATATGGTCATGTACGCGACATTCTGCTCTAAATCCACATGAACCTTCACATGGGTTCCTACATCTTTCTGCAATACATGCCTGATGAGATGGACAGTCTGTATTTACAATACATTCTGGATGGCAGTTAGGTGGAGCGCCTATATATCCTTGAATACAAGAACATGAAGGACTGTTGTTGATTGGTCGACATTCACTATATGCTCCACAAGGGTTCGGCTGACATGGATGAATAGGTAGGTCTGGTACATATTCTGTCTTTTCTATTTCGAAACATTTCTTAAACGGATCGCCGGTCATGCCCGCCGGGCAGCTACACAATGGACTATGATTAACAACTTGACAATGGGATCCTATGCCACATGTGCCCCTGCAGGGATCTGCGCATTTCAATCTATGGCAAGCCCTATCTGATGGGCATTCACTACTGTCAGTACATTCAGGTCTGCAATCAGGAGGAGCACCTCTATAGTCTGGAAGACATTCACATGATGCTAATCCACCGTTTTCTCTGCAAACACTGTTAGGACCACAAGGTGATGGCTGGCATGGTTTCACTATTTCTATAGGTTGTTCCTTTACGCACTGATCAAATGGATTTCCTGTGTAGCCTTTGATGCAGGCACAGCTTGGAACGTGATTTATGACATTACATTCAGCGTTCCTACCACATATTCCAGGGCAAGGATCCACACATTTATTTCTTATACAAGATTTATCAGCCGGGCAATCAGAACTCAGCACACATTCAGGGCGACATCCGTCATATGGATTTCCTAGATATCCTTCTAGACAGGAGCATGAACCAGCTCCATCCCTTTGCGTACAAATAGCATTTGCTCCACATGGTGATGGGTCACAAGGTTCGACCGAATTTTCTGAAAACAAAAAATAAAATGTAACGTTTATACACTAAGAAGCATTCTTTTAACGAACATCAGAATAACAAGACGACATACCTTCTTGAACAATACACTGCATAAATGGATTACCCGTATACTTTTCTCTGCACATACATGACACAGTGTGGCTCACCACAATGCAATCAGCGTTTACTCCACATGAACCTGGGCATGGATCTACGCATTTATTCTTAATACATGCTTGATTTGATGGACAATCTGGGTTAATAACACATTCCGGTCTACAATTTGGTGGCTGTCCGATGTAGTTTTCGATACATCTACAATTAGCCTTCCCATTTCTTTCCATACATTGTGAATTAGGTCCACATGGAGATGGATTGCATGCATCTACGGGCGGAGATGGTGGAACTACTATATCGTAACAACTCTTAAATGGATCACCAGTTTGTCCGGAGTTGCAACTGCAAATTGGGCTATGATTTATTACTTCACACCGTGCTGATACTCCACATGCGTTTATACAAGGATTTATACACTTTTGATTTACGCATGCTTTAGTTGACGGACATTCTGAGCTGACCACACATTCTGGCCTGCAAGTTGGTGGTGATCCTTGGAACCCTTCAAGGCAAGCACAAATTGCAGCATTATCGACATTCTTACAAATACTGTTGGGTCCACAAGGGGAAGGATGACAAGGATCTCTTGGTCTTGTTTTCTCTTGTTCCATACGACGGCAGTGTGTGAATGGATTGCCCGTATATTCTGTCATACATGAACATGTTGGTATATGGTTAATAACATCACATTTGGCGTTTTGTCCACAAGTGCCTGGACAAGGATCTCGGCATTTGTTTCTGAAACATGCCTTATCTCTGGGACATTCTTGGCTTCCAGTGCACTCTGGTCGACAACTTTCGTAGGGATTTCCACTGTAATCCGCTAAACAAGTACAGAATCCGTTGTCACATACAGCGTTGGCACCACATGGAGATGGATTGCATGGGTCTGTAGGAGCCGGTGTAGTCGAATCTAAAATCAACAATATTATTTAATTAATTTAAGTAAAAATACAATGCTATGAAACCTCCACTTCTTCATTGGTCGTGCAAGTCTGTAGCTGCAACTACATTGCCGAGCATCGTGTACTGGGTTCGATTTTGGAGTCTGACAAAGGTGTATATTTTATTAAGTTCTCATTATACACGGAGTCTGTAATTGTGAGAAATGGTAACAAGTCCACCTTCTATTACATGAGACTTTTAACACAACTGGTAAAAAGTTATTGAATTTGTGCATCTTTGAATAACTTTTGAGAAATATTTTAATAATGTGGTGTCCGAAATGTTGTAAAATTTGAATTAAAATAATAATACTGTACCTTCAAGAATAGGTAGACATCTTGCAAATGGATCTCCAGTAAAACCTTCGTTACATACACACACGGCTACGTGGTTCAATACGTGACATGAAGCATCTACTCCACAAGAGCCTGGACACGGGTCTTCACATTTTTGTCGTACACAAGCAAGTGAAGCTGGGCATTCGGCGTTAATTGTACATTCTGGCCGGCAAGATGGCGGAGAGCCCACGTAACCAGGAAGACAGGAGCATGCTGGTCCACTTGCTAACAATTGACAACGTGAATGAGGACCACACGGTGAAGGAGTACAAGATGGAGGTCTTTCTGTTGTGGGTGGAATTCCTATAAAGAAGTACAATAATATTGTAAGTAAAAACAACGGACAATTTAAAAAAAAACATTGATCAAGTAAAAACCATTTCGATCTTACCATAACATTGAGTGAAAGGATCACCAGTCATACCCAATGGGCATGTACATATAGGGCTGTGATTCTTAACAATGCAGTGTGCTCTCAATCCACAGGAATGCGGGCAAGGGTCATCACATTTTTGATTGATACAAGCCTTTGATGAGTCACATTCGCTGTTAACAATACACTGCGGTCGGCAGGACGGAGGTGAACCAATGTAATTCGGCAAACATGAGCATACCGCTTGCATGTTCACCTGTCTGCACTGGCTGTTTGGTCCACAAGGTGTGGGCTCACAAGGATTTTGTGCTGGAGTAGCTGTAATAAAAATGTGTAGTTAACGTTAATTTATTATCTTCTTACACGTTCATTTCAGAACTAATATGCCACTATTGAAACAGTTTGTTAAATGAGGACATTTGAACTTACGAGGTACGGTAATTTCTTTGCACTGGAAGAATGGATCACCAGTATATCCTCTAGGACAAGTGCAAACAGGAATATGATTTTCAACTGTACATTGCGCCATTTGCCCGCATGTTCTTGGACAAGGATCGATACATTTAAATCGAGTACATGCCAAATTGAGTGAACAATCATCATTACTCTCGCATTCTCTTCTACATCCCTGCGTACTATACGGATCACCCTCGTATCCTTCAGAACATACACAGGCGCCGGCTCCATTATATTCACGGCATTCTGCGTTAGGACCACATGGAGAAGGCGTGCATGGACTTGATGTTGGGGTCATTTCAGTTGCTACAAAAATATTAATATAATATAAATTATTTTATGAAAAAAAGGTGATTGAAATTTTCTAATAATTCAATTAATTAATAAACTTTTACTTACATGATATAATGATCTGTATACAGTTCTGTCCGGCATCACCAGTAAATCCATGCTGGCAAGAGCATACTGGTTTGTGATTAATAGTTAAACAAAGGGCATTTACACCGCATGCTCCTTGACAAGGGTCCCTACAACGCTCGTTTATGCAAGCTGTATTACTAGGACATTCTGGATCAATAGTACATTCCGGTCTACAATTCGGCACTCTGCCGATGTAGTTGGGTAAACAGGAACATGCAGCTTGATCGCCAATGACACGACATTCCGAATTAGGTCCACATGGAGAAGGTACACACGGGTTTGTGGTGGGTACGTCACCTAAAAATAACATTGAATGGCGTTATGAAATGTTTAGTAAAACCATTTTTGGGGTTCCATATCTAAATGTTGAATGAAATAGCCTTGAAATGCAATAGCCTCATAAATTCATTAAGTCAGTATATCACCTCATCCGTATGTCAACTAGACACGTTTTACAAAAGTATAACAACTGTTAAGTCTTGACAATTAAAGGTATTTTGTAAAGATTTTCACAAAAAATAATTATAATTACACAAACATTTAAAAATACTAAATTTGATGGGTTCAGAATACCTATAAGTAACACAAAAGTAATTCGTCAAATTCCAACAGGTATAGTATAATATATAATATCTATGTCTTAACTGAATAGTTACTAAGTGTAAAAATGTGCGTAACCCCTGTAACTTCTTTATTAAGAAATTAATAGACTAGACTAAATATATGCAAACTTCAAAATTATTTTAGTTGACCAACTCAACTTGCACTAAATAGTTTAACTACACAAAACAACTTACGCTCTATCAGATTGCACTGAGTGAATGGATCTCCTGTGTATCCGGGACTACAAGTACAAATGGGATTGTGTGTTATAACTTGGCATCGTGCGTTGATACCGCAAGAGTTCTGGCATGGATCCTTGCACTTCTTTTTAATACAGGCCTTATCTTGTGGACATTCCGAACTGACAATGCACTCGGGCCGGCAAGAAGGTGGTGTGCCAATGTAGTCACTCTCGCAGGTGCATACACTGTGACCGTTTATCACCCGACACAAGCTGTTTGGCCCACATGGCGAAGGCTTACAAGGGTCTAATGGAGTTTTCGGATTTTCTGTAACAACTAAAATACGGGATTATTTTAATGAAAGTATCTACCTAGACTACATTATTAACACGTTAGACGCCATGGGGTCAGCGGTGACCTCCGTTAGCGGAGAATTTGCCTTCAACTATTTTCTGTCGGCAGTCAAATGCTTAAAAAACCTTTTTTACAATGTAAACAAGTTAGAAGTACTTACTCTCTATTTCGCATCTGACTAATGGGTTGCCGTTGTATCCAGTAAGACATGTGCACGTCGGAGAATGATTAACAGTTCGACATTCAGCATTAATGCCGCAAGCTCCTGGACAAGGATCTTTGCACCGATTGTTTGAACAAGCCTTGTTGCGATCACAGTCTGAATTTGAAACACATTCTGGTCGACATCCTGTATAAGGGTCACCAAAGTATTCCGGCAAACATGAACAGGAGCCCACTCCGTTTCTTTCTTTACATAATGCATTAGCGCCACATGGTGACGGGCTGCAGGGATTTGGTGGTGGCTCCGAATGTTCTGAAATCAAACGTCAAACATTTCTATAGCACAAAATACACGTGGTAAATAATACAAGAATGCTGCCGGTGCGATCTAAAACTTACGTTCAAACGGTGAACAGCCACTGAAAGGATCACCTGTATATCCCGACAAACAGCTACATAGTGCGACATGATTGGCTACAGAACATTCCGCATTAAAACCACAAGAGCCAGGACATGGATCCACACATTTCTCATTTTGGCATGCAAGATTACCAGGGCATTCCGCGTTTATAGAACATTCAGGTCTACAGTTTGGTGCTACACCAATGTAATTCGGTAAGCATGAACATGCAGGCGCTTCTCCAACTACTTTACATTGAGAATATGGACCACATGGTGATGGAACACATGGATTTCCTTTAGGCACGTCTAAGATAGGTTCTAAGAAAGAAAGAAAGAAAATTTGAAAGATTAAGAAAAACAGTACACAGGAAATATAAAAAAGCAGTATAAAGAGAAAAACGAAATATGTAGGTATAAATGAAAAGAAACATGAAAAATAAAGTAATAAATTATACAATAGTATAAATTTACAGGGAAATTAAAACATAAAACATTTAATTTGAGCTTCATTTATTATTTTTGTGATGGTCTTACTTTTTTCCAACTGGCAAGTTACAAATGGATCACCAGTAAATCCAGCATTACAAGTGCATATTGGGTTATGGTTTATCACTTGACATCTTGCATTAACACCGCAAGTTCCTGGGCATGGATCTCTACATTTTTGTTTAATGCAAGCTTGATGTTGAGGACAATCCGTGCTTATAACACATTCTGGTCTACAAGTAGGCGGTGTACCCACATACCCTTCCCGGCAAGAGCATACTCCGTGGTCGTCCACAACTTTACAATTGCTATAAGGCCCACAAGGCGATGGAATACAAGGATTTACATCCGCAATAGGTGCTAAAATTAAACGAAGTCGGTTAAAATATAGACGTCAAAATAATTTTAATTTTTATTGTTTATTTATATATACTAACGTTTTCTTTGTGGATGACACGATACTACTGGATTTCCTTCATAACCATCAATACAAAGACATACTGGTGTATGATGCGCAACAGTGCACACTGCATTTAGACCACAAGCGCCTTGACAAATATCCACGCATTTATTATTGGAACATGCTTTGTCAAAAGGACAGTCGTTGTTTGTGACACATTCTGGACGACAGCCTAAATAAGGATCACCAAAGTATCCCGGCGCACATGTGCAGGCTCCAACCGAATTCCTTTCCGTGCATATAGCGTTCGGACCACACGGAGATGGATTACAAGGATTCGTTTCATCTTCACTTGGTACTGTGACTAAAATAAAAACGGAAATTTGTTGAAAACCTTGTAAAAGTCTAACTGACATGTAATTAACATTTATATTGCACGCAAACTTACCAATAAAGTAACAACCGCTAAATGGATCCCCAGTATAGCTTTCACGACAATGGCAAACAGCTTTGTGATTAATTACAACACATTCTGCGTTTGAGCCACAAGATCCTTGGCAGGGATTGACACACTTTTCACGGATACAAGCCAAGTTACTCGGACATTCTTCGTCGTATATACATTCAGGACGACAATTAGGAGCTCTTCCTATGTAACCAGGTTGACAAGAGCAAGCCGGTGTCTCGCCAATAACCCGGCATTGTGAATTAGGCCCACATGGCGATGGTATGCAAGGATTTCCCGTAGGCTTGGGTTCCGGCCCTAAAATTGTTTGAAATATTTATATTTCTAATCGTATTAAACCAAAAATTAAGTAGTTTGTTTGTTTAATATATAACTGCAGTAACTCACGTTTTTCAAAGGAGCAATGTACGAATGGGTCTCCAGCGTAATTTGGTGGACAGCTACATAATGCATTGTGGTTGACTACAGTACATTTAGCATTGTTACCACAAGCTCCGACGCACGGATCAACACATTTTTGATTGATACATGCTTTGTTGGGCATACATTCACTGCTAACCATGCACTCCGGCCGACAGAAAGGTGGTGTACCAAAATATTGCTCTTGACATGAGCAAATTGCGTGGCCACTGGTAATACGACATAAACTATATGGTCCACAAGGGGAAGGTGAGCAAGGATCAATTGGTACTTCATTTTGGCCTAAAACAGACAATATTTTAAGTGTACATACTACAAAACGTAACGTTTTTTAACTGTTGTGTAATTAAGAATTACTAAATTTCTTACGTATGTAACAAGACGTAAACGGATTTCCTTCATAACCAGGTAAGCAAGCACAAGATGGCGCATGATTGTTTACACGACATTCAGCGTTCATTCCGCATACTCCTGGACATGGGTCTTTACACTTGTTGTTTATGCACGCCCTGTCTTTTGGACAGTCTGAATTTAAGACACATTCAGGACGACATTCCACGTATGGGTCCCCAAAGTAATCAGGAAGACAAGTACATGAACCGATTCCTTGTCTTTCTTTGCATACAGCGTTTGCCCCACACGGTGATCGTGAGCATGGACTTTCGACTTGAGGTTCAATAGCTACAAGAATGAATTAATAGCTTTTAAAAACGTTCATTAATAATAACAAAGTCTAATAACATTAGCAAAAAACTTACATGGTATAGGAGAACATCCAGAAAATGGATCTCCTGTGTACCCTTGGTCACAAGAACATACTGGGACGTGTTTAACCACAGCGCAACTCGCATGGTATCCACATGATCCCGGACAAGGGTCACTACACCTTTCAGAAATACAAGCTAAGTTGCCTGGACATTCAACGTTTATCATACATTCAGGTCTACAGTTAGGAGGACGTCCGATATAGTTTTCTAAACACGAACAAACTGCCAGTCCATTAATATCTTTGCATTGTGAATGCGGACCACATGGATTAGGTAAACAGTTATTTATTGGTTCCATTTGTTCTGTGAAATAAAAACAAGAATTGTGTTTAAGGAGAGTGATAACAACGAATATGCTATTTGATTTAATAATAAATGCCAATATTACTTACTTTCTTCAAAGAAACATCTAACAAAAGGATCACCGGTGTAACCATTAAAACAGCTGCATATAGGATTATGGTTAACTACTTGACATTGAGCGTCGACGCCGCACATACCAGGACACGGGTCTTGGCATTTTTGATTAATACATGCTTTATCCGGTCGACAATCAGAACTAACGATACATTCAGGCCTACAATTTGGTGGAGAGCCAACGCACAGATCAAGACATGTACAAACAGCATGTCCATTAAATACGCGACATTTACTATAGGGCCCACAGGGTGTTGGGTTGCACGGATCCACAGGTTGAGGTAGAGCTAGATTGAATAGGAAAGAAAATAGACAGATAAGTAAAAAAAGCATGAAATTCAGAAATAGACATTTAAAGAAAGATCAAGAAAGATAGTCTTACATGAGACAGGAGTACATGCATGAAGAGGATTTCCTCTAAATCCAGGTAAGCAGTAACATGAAGGTGCATGGTTTGCGACTCTACATTCGGTATTTTGTCCACAAGCCCCAGAGCACGGGTCCACACATTTGTTATTGAAACAAGACCTGTCTCGAGGACAGTCGGTATTCATGACGCATTCTGGACGGCAGCCACGATATGGATCACCATAAAATTCATCTACACATGTACAAGAACCAGCACCATTCCTTTCTCGACAAATGGCATTAGGTCCACAAGGTGATGGATTGCAAGGTTGATGAGGTACATCTTTCGAAGCTGCAAAATGGTATACATAAACATGCCATCACGTACATTTACAAATATCATGCAAGGTGACAGTGCATTTAAATAATGAATAATCTTACCTTCAACAGGATTGCAGCCAGCAAACGGATCTCCAGAAAAACCTTCGTCGCATGAACATACTGGTTGGTGGTTTTGCACTATGCACCGTGCATTAAAGCCGCAGGAGCCTACGCAGGGGTTCACGCAGTTGCCAGCTAGACAAGCAAGAGCCAGCGGACAGTCCTGGTTTATAACACATTGTGGACGACAAGATGGTGGCGCTCCCAGCGTGCCTGGTTCGCAAGAGCAAACTGCACGGCCAGCTTCATTGCGGCAGGAAGAATGTGGGCCGCATGGCGATGGTAGACATGGGTCCGGCGCTGGTTGAGTAATAGCTGACAAAAAAAGCAATAGTTAAAATATACTCACAACCGCAGCCGTTATCATGCAATCATGAAACTGTTTTATCTGTATTTTAATTTAGATTACATTATCAATATTTAACAATACAATTTTAAAGAATCCAAACTCGTATTAGGGTTGGTTTGGTTAAGGGATGCACACCAGTGTACAAAAACTGAGTATTGTTAAATATTGCCATTTTTGGCATAATCATATCATTTACTTGAACCTTACAAACTACACTGTTATAGGCATACTATTGTATTTTTTTATTATGTAAGTAAGTAATTAGTTTCATTTCATTCATTTTCATACAACAAGTTATCCTATTTTAAATTATATAGAATAGAAGATTTTGAAATACATACTTTTCCTGTAACATCTGATGAATGGGTCACCTTCGGGTAGATTTTCTGGACAAGTACAAATTGGATTATGTCCAACCACGTGACAACGTGCGTCTAATCCGCAACTATGAAGACATGGATCCTTGCACTTGTGATTGATGCAAGCTTTGTTTGTAGGACAATCCGAGTTGACTGCACACTCAGGACGACAGGCAGGTGGTGCACCCAAGAAACCAGCGCGGCACGAACATGCGGCGCGGTCATTCACTACATGGCATTCGCTATTTGCTCCACAAGGCGATGGCTCACAAGGGTTGAAGGGCGATGCTAGAATATCAAATAGCAAAGTCTTGTTTAATACAATCGAAATAGACTTTCATCTGAATATTATTTGTCCCTCCAGATAAAATAATAATAATTTTATTACGTACACGTATGAACCGTGAATCAATTTTGATATTTAACTTAAAAAAAAATACCTATTATATACTTTTGTTCCAACAAAGTAACAAAATAATTAAGTTATACATACGTGTTTTTGGTTTCTGGCGGCATGAAGAGAATGGATTGCCTTCATATCCTTGGAAACATGTGCATACAGGCACATGATTAGTGACAGAACATTCAGCGTTTACGCCACATAAATCTTTGCATGGGTCTCTACAGTGGTTGGATAAACATGCAAGGTGGTTCGGGCAATCAGAGTTTATAGTACATTCTGGTCGGCAGCCTCCTGCGTATGGATTACCTATGTTAGGAGGTATACACGAACAGCGTGCTACATTGTTCACGACTGTGCATATAGTATTGTCTCCACAGGGCGACGGATTGCATGGCGTGGGTGATTCGTCTTTCGCAATGGCAACACAACCCACAAACGCATCACCTCGATATCCTTCTAGACAACTACAAAGAGGTGTGTGATTTACTACATTACATCTGGCATTGTTCCCACATGCACCAACGCATGGATCGACACATTTTTCATTGATACACGCTTTGTTTGATGGACATTCTTGACTAATGACACATTCTGGTCTACAGTAAGGAGGTGTGCCTGAATAATTTGGACGACATGAGCATACTGGATGGTTTGATTTAATTTCACATACAGAATTGGGGCCGCATGGTGATGGTACACAAGGGTTTTTGTCCATAGGCACAGGTTCTATGACTTCCGTACAGGCCACGAATGGATCTCCTGTTTTTCCTGGGCTACAGCTACATATTGGGTTGTGGTTAACTACAATACATTCAGCATTAACGCCACAGCTGCCCTGACAGGGGTTGGTACACTTTTGATTTACACAAGTGTCTGTTTGGGAACAGTCCGAATTACTGACACACTCAGGTTGACACATTGGTGCTACTCCTCTATGGCCTGGTAAGCACGAGCACACGGCAAATCCTGAAGGTGATACAAGGCATCGACTGTATGGCCCACAAGGTGATGGATCACACGTAGAAACTGTAGGTGGCAATGATATAGTGGGCTGACACCTCACATAGGGGTCTCCAGTATTGCCTGCTTCGCAATAGCAGACCGCGTGATGGTTCACGGTTTTACATAAAGCACCTATACCGCATATGTCAGTACAAGGGTTTTCGCACTTATTATTCAAGCAGGCTAACTCTGGTGAACAGTCGCTATTAACCACACATTCAGGGCGGCATGACATATATGGATTTCCGTAAAAGTTGGGCAAACATTTACAAGTTTGGGCACCATTTTTGTCTTCGCATATAGCATTAGCTCCACATCTTACATTGTCGCACGTTTCAACTAAAACAGCTACAAAAACGTAAAGGTTGTTTATATTTTCATTTCATCATTATGTTTATTAAATTGGATCGTCAAGTCTTGAATACTTACGATTTGTTGTTGGCTTGCAATGTTCATACGGATTTCCTTCGAAGCCTTCTTTGCAGTGACACATCGGATCGTGTTGGTAAACTGAGCATAAAGCATTAATTCCGCATGAACCTGGGCAGGGATCTACGCATTTATTTCTCAAACAAGCCTTATTAAAGGCACATTCTGAATTAAATACGCATTCCGGTCTACAAGCAGGATTGTTTACTGCATTTGGTCCAACACAAGTGTCGCAAATTGCAAACTGATTTCCATAAGTATCACACGGGGCATTAGGATCGCAAGGATTAGGCGTGCAGGGTTGAGCAGTCGTATTATCTGATCCAATAATTATCGCTGAAACGTGAAAGAACAATTTAAATTTATTTGATAATTTATTGAATCGACTTGATATGAGTAATAACAATTTAAATTAAATACTCACGTCGATAAAGACATTGAGTCAAAGGATCTCCGATATATCCATCAGGGCACAGGCAGGACACTGTGTGTTCGGAACATAAACAAACTGCATGTATACCACACACGTTGTCGAATGAGCATGGATCTGTGCACTTTTGATTTATACAAGCTTCATTAGATGAACAATCCGAATTCATGGTGCACTGAGGTTTACATTCTACTGTTGGATCTCCAAGGAAATTAGGAGGACAAGAACAAAGAGCTTTATCACCAACATCCTGGCAGATTGCGTTTATACCACACCTTACCGTGTTACAAGGCTTTTTGGAATTCGATTTTTGGTCTCCAGGTGGCAGACAACTCATTAAAGGATTGCCGACATATCCATCTGAACATATACAAACTGGTCTATGAGATTCTACTCGACATTTAGCATTTATTCCACAAGCGCCTGGACAGGGGTCACGACAGGCGTATCCAATACAAGCTCGGTCAAGTTTACATTCATCGTCTACTTCACATTCTCGAGAATGACAACCATCAACCCCATAAGCATCACCTATACTGCCTTCAGGACAAATGCACAATGCTTGTCCTTCATAGTTAACTTGACAGATAGCTTGAGGCCCACAAGGATTAGGTGTACACGGACTTCTTTGTGGTTGACAGCCAACATGAGGATCTCCAGTAAATCCAGTCTTACAGAAGCACATCTCCATATTACCACTTACATAGCAATCTGCATTGGGACCACATGGACCTGGTCGACAAAGTACGTCAGGTGGAAGGTAACCTTGTGTGTTGCACGATTTATAAGGATTACCTATAGCGTTTTCAGGGCAGTAGCAGGGTGGAGATCGGTTCGGGTCACATCGTGCTCCGATACCACAAGTATTTGGTTCACAAGGATTACGTGATTCCACACATCCTCTAATAGTATTGGGACTTTCTATGTATCCTGGTAAGCATGTGCATTTTGCAAATCCATTTGATTGTATTGTACATTGTGTGTTGGGTCCACAGGGAGACGGATTGCATGGATTGTTTGGTAAACGACATTGTTGACGGGGAGGATCTCCTTCGTAGTTGGGTAAACAGAAACAGGCAGGTTTGTTATCGATTAATCTGCATCCAGAATATGGACCGCAAGGATTTGGTTCACATTCATTTCCTTCGGGTACTGAAATCAAAATTAATAGAATGTGATAGATGAATAAATAAATTTTATTCAATGAAAATTAACGAAAAACTATGTCACTTACTGCAATTTTTGAACGGATTTCCTGTTAATCCCTTGGGGCAGAAACAAATTGGATTTCCATTATCACTTTCACACATTGCGTTAGTTCCGCAAGGGTTTGGAATACATGGATTTGTAGGTGGTTCACATCCATGTTGCGGATTTCCTGTGTATCCCGGTAGACATTTACACGAAGCACGGTGATTCAAAACATCACATATAGCGTTAATTCCACATCTGCATGGAGATCCACATTTGCCGTTTATGCAGGCTTCAGAGTTAGCGCACTCATTATCCGAACGACAACCTTGTACTAAAAAACACAATTATGTTACTAACAAAAATATAACGCACAGCTAAATTACAAGTTTTGAACTGGCACATGTCAAATTAAGGTGTTCCACTTTATCAAATGTTAAGTCAATTAAAAAATTTAATCTTACCTTGGAAACATTCTAAGTAAGGATTTCCGGTAAAACCAGCAGAACATTTGCATTGTATGCCGTGATTTTCTGGGAAACATTCTGCATTATCTCCACACCTATTTACAGCACAGGGGCTAATGCAAACTCTGTTTAATTTGTCACATAGGAGTTCTGGAGGACAGTCTTCATTATATTGACATACGGAACCGGGCGGTATTACTAAAATAACAATGTTGATTAGAATTTATACAACCTAGAAATCAATAAACGTACGCTTGATTGTGATATTTACCTGGCACACATCCAACGTAGCCGTTTCCTTGGTATCCTTCGACACAGCTACAGTCTGATCCATGATTTGTGTTTATACAGACCGCATTCGGTACGCACGGATTGTGTATAGCACATGGGTGTTGACATGCATTATTTATACAAGCTTCAGTCAAGGGACAGTCTTCATTTCGAGTGCAACCAACTGAGTAAAACGTAAGATACATATTTATATATTATACAAAGAGTGAACCTACAGAACCATATAGTGTAACAACGTGTAAAGTGAACTTTTAAAGATTTAGTTGGACTTTATCTTGATATGTATATACATTTAAACCAAAACCACTGTTTTTAAGAATATTTTAGTCTTTGCATTTTAGAAATAAGTATATTACAATTCACCATTAACAATTAATCTTAAAACTAAATGTTGATAATAAGTAAGTAAATGATGAATTCAATGTATTTTCTATTAGTAGGTATCAGTTGAAGCTTACATATTTTAGGCGAACATTTAACAGCAGGATCTCCGTCATGTCCAGCAGGGCAGGAGCACATAGGCCTTTGTTTTACTGGTTGGCAATTGGCTCCTATGCCACATACGTTGTCGAACTCACATGGATTTTGACACAATCCCATAAAACAGGCTTCGGTCTCTATACAGTCCCGATCAGAGTGACAAGGTTCTGGTACCTTGGGTGTTCCGGGTGATTCTAGTATTTTACACGTTAGATACAGAATTAGTATGTTACATTTAAGATAAGGTGCACATTAGTGTATTTACAAATTAATAACATGATTTTATTATGTACGATCAAAATACTCATCTGTCCGATAAAACGACCTTAGTATACCGGTACTGACAAAAATATAATAAATTAACGTAATGAACTTTGTACAGTAAACTTTTTAGCAAACTTTTTGAATATCTTCATTATTATTTGACCTAAAAAACAAAACACCTGGTAAGCCTACCTTTGCGTGAGCAGTAGATCCCAGTGACGTCGTTACACACACAAATGGCGGCATGGCTCACGACTACACATGATTCGTTCTTTGTACAACCATTCCCATCTATTTCACATGGATCCTGGCACACTCCGTTTAGGCAGGCTTTATTTGTCGGGCAATTCGTGTTTATTTTACAGGTGTTAATATGCAAGTCACCACTTTGTACAGTAGTCTCAGTAGAAGTCATGTCAGTTACAAGAGTTGTGTCAGTCCAAGCAGAAATATCAACGATTTTTCTACGAGAAGATAAACTCTCAGTAGATGTACTTATAATTCCTGTCGACGTATGTACTTTAGACGTAACATAAATATTTGTGGATGGGGTATTTGAAGAAAAGTTATCATGCATTGCTTTAGTGACAGATTCGCTATTCATAGTATTATTTGGTTGAATGTCAGTCATATTTTGTTCATGAGTAGATGAAATTGTAGTGTCTTCTATATCTGGTGTTGATGTAGGTTTATCAGTATGAACGGAATATGGTGTCGTAATTAAATCGCTTATAGTAGTTTCTGCTACAGTTGAAACGTCTACATCTTTTGTCGCTAACGGTGCTGTAACAAAACTATTGGTAGTACTAGGGATCTCGTTGAAAAATTGTGTGACTGATTCTTGCGGTGAAGTTGTCAAAACGCCATAGCTAAGCGTTGATGTCGTACCTTCATTTACGCTTGTAGAAGTAGATAGTTCGGGCGCATTAGTATTATGCTCGTAGTGATTTGTTACACTATCGGGCAGTGTTTTGTCATCAATGATTCCCGTAGTGGATTCGGATAAAACTTCGTCCTTAACGGTTACAACTGGTGTCATTTCAGTTGGAATATTATTAATGTTCTTATTGTCAGTATTTTTAATAGTGCTGGTAATATAAGTTTCCGTCTCCACATTGATATCCAAATAAGATGTAACAGATTTGGTGGGAACATCTGCCGTGCTTCCTGATTCAGTTACAGTGTCATAATTGTTGTCTAAGGTCGTAAGCATTTCGGTGTGTAATGTACTAATAGTTGAATCTGTAGCAAACTCTGTATTTTCTGCATGTGTATTGGTGACAGTGTAAGAAATTTCTGTAGTGCTTGGTATTTCTATAATGACCCCAGTGTTCCCTTTGATGGTACTATGTGCATATTCTTGGTCTCTGCCCGACGTACTTGGATATTTAAAAACATTATTTTCCTCTGATGTAAAAATCATATTATTGTCTGGAAGTTTGGTGGAAAAGCCATCACTTTTAGTAGGTGTAACATTATCTGAACCTTTAGTTACTATTTGAATTAAATCGACAGTTTTATCTGTTACTATTTCGCTATCACTGGAAGTGAATGATAAAGTATTAGGAACATAATTTCCATCTGTAGTCGTGAGTACGTCTATTGTTACCGTTTTTTGTGTACTATTTAGATCCAAAGATGGTGTACTTGTCTCTAAATTGTTATTTGACGTTGTTTTTTCTGTTGTGATTTCAGTATTTTCTATTACTTTCGTTGTGACCTTTTCTGTTCCCTTGCTCGAATCGCTGAATTGAATCAATCCGTCAGTGACACTTTGAGTATTTGGATTATCCACTGCTCCAGTATGATTGGTTAAACTCTTATAGGTGGTTGTGTCCATCTTTATTTCATTTGTAAACTCATCTTGTGTACTTTCTGTGCCTAATGGTATAGTATCAGTTGCGGAATCAACGCTGGATATACGTGATCCATTATATTCTGTTGTTTCTTCTGTTTGAACCTTCTGGGTGCTAGTTGTTTCCATGGGTATGATTTTTGTATCAAAACTTGTACTCGTTATATCATTCATAATATCTGTTGATCCAGCTAGACTATCTGAAACCCAGTCTTGTGGATTAACATTTTCAGTAGTAACAATGTTTTTAACCAAATACTCACTAGTGGTTGTGCTGTCTCTGTTTATACCTATTGATTCAGTCAAACCATCTATTATAATATTTTCTGAGGTTTGTGTACTTTTTGCTAAAATGTTTCTCATTGTTGTAGTAGTATCAATATTTATTTCAGTAGATTTTTCTAATGTTTCCGTAATTATTTCATTTGTTCTTGGAGTTATTACAACACCTGTATTTCCTGGCAAGTGGTTTGTACTTAATTTAAATTCATTTGATTCAGTTACCGTGCTAGTGTCAAATTCGTAGGTGTTTCGAGTATTTAATGTAGTTGTAACCATGCTCTTGTAAATGGTTGTATCCCCAACCACTTCTGTTGATTCACTCTTTTCATTCGTCACTGTACCTTTTATATCTGAAGGTTCAGTACTTTTACCAAAAGTCATTTTAGACGTTGCTTCCGTTACTGTGTCAGTTAACTCATCTGGTAACATAATTGTCGTGCTCTGAGTATCTAAATCTTTCATTGTGACAGTATTTTCAAAATTCTTATTTGTTGTTGTACTTATATGAGATTCAATTGATCCACTTAATCCTTCAGTTACTACGTCCTGTGAGCCTCGAGTTTGCATAGTGACAGTAGTTTCAAAGTTTTTATTAGTTGATGACAGTTTAGATTCAGTTGATCCAGTTAATCCATTAGTTTCCGTTTCCCGTGGGCTTGGCAGTTCCGTAGTTACAGTAGTTTCAAAGTCTGCATTAATTGATGTGTATATTTTAAATTCTGTAAATCCACTTGATTTATCAGTTTCTGTATCCTGTGGGCTTACAGTTTCCATAGCATCAGTAGTTTCAAAGTTCTTATCAGTAGTTTTAGTTTCAGTTGATGCACCCAATGTATCAATTACAGTTTCTCGTGGGCTTGACAGTTCCGTAGTTATAGTAGCTTCAAAGTTATTATTAATTGAAGTGTATATTTTAGATTCAGTAGATCTGCCCCATCCATCAGTTGCTGGTTCTAATGGGCTTGGTGTTTCCGGAGTTATAGTAGTTTTGAAATTCTTATTAGTTAATGAGTGCATGTTAGGTTCAGTTGATCCACCCGAGTCATTAGTTACTGTTTCTTGTTTGCTTAGAACTTGCTCAGTGACAATAGTTTCAAAGTTCTTATTAGTTGTTGTACTTATTTGTGATTCAGTTGATCCACCTAATCCATCAGTTACTGTTTCTGTTGCATTTGCTTTTTCCGTAGTTATAGTAGTTTCATAATTCTTATTAGTTGATGAGTGAATTTTAGATTCTGTCGATCCACCAGATTCATCGGTTACTGTATCCTGTGGGCCTAAAGTTCCCACAGCATCAGTAGTTTCAAAGTTCTTATTAATCGAAGTGTATACTTCAGTTTCAGTTGATCCACCCATTGCATTTGTTACAGTTTCTCGTGGGCTTGGCAGTTCCGTAGTTATAGTAGCTCCAAAGTTGTTATTAATTGATGTGAATATTTTAGATTTAGTGAATCCTCCCAACCCATCAGTTGTTGTTTCTAATTGTTTTGGTGGTTCTGTAGTTGTAGTAGTTTCGAAATTCTTATTAGTTGATGAGGGTATGATAGATTCAGTTGATCCACCCGAGTCATTAGTTATTGTTTCTTGTTTGCTAAGAATTTGCTTAGTGACGGTAATTTCAAAGTTCTTATTAGTTGTTGTACTTATTTGAGATTCAGTTGACCCACCTAATCCATCAGTTCCTGTTTCTCGTGGTATTGAAATTTCATTAGATATAGTAGTTTCATAATTCTTTTTAGTAGATGTGTGTATTTTAAATTCAGTTGATCCACCCGATTCTTCAGTTACTGTATCCTGTGAGCTTAGAGTTTCCGTTATTTCAGTAGTTTCAAAGTCCTTATTAGTTGATGTGTACATTTGAGATTCAGTTGATCTAGACAAACCATCAGATACTGTTTCTGTTGAGCTTGGAATTTCCGTAATTAATTTGTATACTTTGGTTTCAGTTGAACCCAATCCATCAGTTAATGTTTCTTGTGGGCTTGACAGTTCCGTGGTTACAGTAGTTTCAAAGTTTTTATCAGTCGATACACTTATTTGAGATTCAGTTGACCTTTCAGTTACTTTATCTAGTGGGCTTGGAATTTCCACAGAAACAGTAGTTTCAAAATGTTTGTTAGTCGTTGTGCCTATATAAGGTTGAGTTGGTTCACCTGATTCATGAGTTATTGTATCCTGCAGGCTTAGAGTTTGCATAATGACAGTGGTTTCAAAGTTCTGATTAGTTGATGTACCTATTTGAGATTCAGTTAATCCACCCGATTCATCAGTTACTGTATATTGTGGACTTAGAGTTTCCATAATGTCAGTAGTTTCAAAGTCCTTGTTAGTTGATGTATATATTTTAGATTCAGTTGATCTAGACAAACTATCAGATACTGTTTCTCGTGGGCTCGGCATTTCCGTAATTGCAGTAGATTCAAAATTTTTATCAGTAGATGTGTGTATTTTAAATTCAGTTGATCCGCCTGATCCATCAGTTGCAGTTTCTTGTGAGCTAGGCGTATTCGTAGTGTCAGTAGTTTCAAAGTCCTTATTAGTTGATGTATATATGTGAGATTCAGTTGATCTAGCCAAACCATCAGATACTGTATCTTGTGGACTGAGGGTTTGCATAGTGACTGTTGTTTCAAAATTCTTATTAGTAGATGTGTGTATTTTAAATCCAGTTGATCCAACCGATTCTTTAGTTACTGTATCCTGTGGGCTTAGACTTTGGATAGTGTCAGTAGTTTCAAAGTTCTTATAAGTGATTGTACTTATTTGAGATGTAGTTAATCCATCCGACTCATCGGTTGCTGTATCCTGTGGGCCTAGAGTTTCCATAATGTTAGTAGTTTCAAAGTCCTTATTAGTTGATGTGTGTATTTGAGATTCGGTTGATCTAGCCAAACCATCATATACTGTTTCTCGTGAGCTTGGTAATTCTGTAATTACAGTAGTTTCAAAATTCTTATTAGTTGCTAACTGTTTGTCAGATTCAGTTGATCCACCCGATCTATCAGTCACTGTTTCCTGTGGGCTTAGATTTTCCGTAGTGACAGTAGTTATAAAGTTCGTATCGAATGATTTTGACGTTGTTGTTTCCATACTTGCCACAGATGTTATATTAATTTGAAGTTGCTTCATCACTTCAGTACTTGTAGTTTCTGCAACTGTTGTGTAAATGGGAACATTTTCATTTTTGTTAGGAACGATTTTAGTTGGAGCTGTGTTCGTCATTTGAGTGTAAATTTCCAGTGGCTCTGACGTATATTCATAATTATTTTCAGTATTAGTTGTAACAGATGCAACAGATATACTTTCCGTTGACCTTAATTCATCTTCAGTTCCTGCATTTTTAGTTATGGTAGAAGCTGGTGTAGTCGTTAAATATGCAGTTGAGACAGACTGATTTTTGACTTCAATAACCTCTTCTGCTCCATATTGCGTTTCTGTTGTAACTGTGCTATCATCTAACTTTGAAGTCATTCTTTGAATAAACGGAACAGTTGACGTACTGATTGGTTCAAGAATATTTTTATCTGTTAAAAATGAGTCAGTTGTAGTAATAATTTCCGACTTATTTGGATCAAAAGCATTCAAAGTAGATTTGGCGGGCTTATCTGTTATTGTCTGTTCTGTTGTTATTTGTGTGGGATCCGAAAAGACTACAGTTTCAAGTGTACTTATTTCTAATTTCGTTGTTGTTGAATCCACATTATTTAATATGTTACTATCAGCAGGCATATTTTTCTGAGAACTAGTTATATATTCTGTTTCTATAGAACTTGTGTACTTAGGGGTGTTCAGTATTTTGATTGTTGGAGTAGTTGTTGTCAAACCTGACGTTTCAGTTTGACCTCTTGTAAATTCAGCATTACTTGCATCCGTAAAGGTATTAACAGATGAAGACGTTACTATTTCTACCGGTAACGTAGTTCTTTCAGTCACGTTCGCCAACTTCTCAGATGAATTTAAAGTTGTAACTGATAGTGTTCTACTAATATCTATTGCACTTTCAGTTACGAAAGTTGACGCCTCTACGTCGACTGTAGTTGAGCTTTGGGTTTTATCGTTGTTTTTAAGTATTGCTTTGAAAGTCGTAGACTTCGTACTATCTACGTCAGAGTCAACCGGCAAAGTCGTTTTATATTCAGTACTAGTTTCAGAAGAATGCTTTTTTAAATCATAGATGTTAGATAAAGTTGATGCGGATAAATTTTCTCTGGGTAGGTCTTCAACTAACGTTATACCTGTATAGTTGCTATTCATCTTACGTTGATTTGTAGGTGTTTTTGTATTTTTATTTTCAATTGGTGCTATTGAAGAATGATTGCTTTCAATAATCTTCTCCGTAACTGGTTTCATAGTACTCTCGACATGAATAGTACTACTACTTGGAAGAAGAACATCAGAATCGATTGATGAATAATTTTCTATATTAGTATAGGGTGTAGTCATTTGTGTTGTATAATCATTGTGGTAGCTTGTATTAATATCAGTTGATTTCTTAGTCATATATTCGGTATTTGTGTCAACATCAGAAGGACTTTTAGGTTCGTTTACGAATGAACCTGTTACTGTTCTTTCTGTTAAATGTGTAGAAAATTCCGTACCATCCCTTCCATCTACTGTGACTAACTCTTTATCAGGAATAGTTTCGGAGGTAGAAGTCGTAATATCATCAGGTATATATGAAGTTGTAAATGATTTATTAGTCGTTGTCACTAGTAATCCATTTGCGTCGCCAGGAACGCTATTTGATACGGACTCCGTAGTAGATTCATAAACGTTATATATTTTAGTTTGTATGCTTGGTTTTACATGTTCTATATCATCAACAGTTGAGTAATTCGGAATTTCAGTTAATGTCGTTGATATCAAGCTTCTAACAGTTAGTGTATCGTCAGTGGTTGTATAGTCAGTCATGATATTATTAGAGGTTTTATAAGGGAAGTTATCGGTATTTGTAAACTGTGGAACATTGTCAGTAGGTGTAGTTGAGACTATAGTAGTGGTAGAGTCACTGCTTCCTCCTGGTGTAGTATTGTTTTCGGTTAGTGGGACATAAGTTCCATCTGTTAATAGGAATTGATAATGCCATTATTAATCTTATAAGATTTTATAAAAAAAATCTATTTGCTCAAATGTTCACATTTCTTAATTATTATGTACTCAAGGAAGAAAGGAAAGTAGAATTGTTGTGAAGTATAAGATTGTACAAGTTGAAGCGTAATATCTGAGAAAATCTATCTACGATAGTGCTCTAATTCGTGCTCTAAGGTGCTAAACTACTACAGATAGAAAAGTAAAGAAAGAAGGAAAACAATAAGAAGATTGACGAGTTTAGGCTTAATGGACCAACCAATAGTAAGAAAGTGTGCCAGTAAGTAGTATTTAGCAGCTGTGTTATATATTTTATAACTAGGAAATTTAATGACATAATTTTTTTGGAATAGTTATATGTTGGAAGTTTTCATAGTTTCGGTCTTTAAGCCTAAAACCGTATTCGGATGTCAAACAAATAGTCCTGTGAAACTAACACCGTCGTAAAGTGTTTCGGAGTATGTAAGTACCGTACAAAGAATTGCCTGCCGGGTCTGCCGAGGTATCGTAGCCAGTATTTTGTGGCGTTTTATCGGACAAATGGTAAATATACTAAAATTATAGCAATGACCAGTTCATCTGGAGTTAGTTTTGCTATTCACATAATAAAAATAATAGTAGTTGCAGACTTGCAAGTATTACAGCCAAAGTCCACGAAACAACAATCAATTATGTGAAAATAGCATTACGATAGGTATAGAAGGCACAATCGTAACGTAAATATCGTTTAAACACAGTTAGCTTAATTCAAATTAGCAATGTTAACGTTATAATTAGCATTATATATGTTCTGTATTATATACATAGCACTTACTTTCCATGCAGGCGCCAGAGAACGGATCGCAAGGTACTCCCGGCCGACAATGCCCACAGTTCGTGGATGGGTGTCGTTCTTCTGCGCAACACAAAGGAGATGTAATGCAGGAGGGTGCATATTAAATATTACAACTATTTTAAAAGCATATTTCGGCTGGCGTCTATGCATCATAGGACCAGAAGACCAGAGGACATAGAGCCAGGGTAGCTACATAGAATAGGAGATTTTTTCTCTTTCTAATCCCCATTTTTCTCTAAAATTAGGGGGTTAAATTAATACGAAATATTTCGCAAGTTTCAAGGTAGAAAGATAAGACTTGGTAGGGATAATCCAAAACTATGCCCGTATATAATAAGGAGTGAGATTTGATATGGGTCTTCACAGTTTTCCAGTTAAAAATCCGTACTCTTTATTATCAAAAAAAATACCTGCCTTATAATTTGTTTCAAATTTTCTCCCAGACCCCAAATGCTCAGTTTTTTTATAGTATCGTCTACGGTCGAAACCTCTTTTGTATTCTAAATCAGGAAAGAGGAACCGTGTCACACACACAGTTAACGCGAGTGAAACCGCGGGCAAAAGTTAATAAAAATTAACAAACCTCGAATGCAAGCACAGCCGTCACAGAAGGTATTGGGATATCTCGCACAATCAGACGATGTTTGACACTGACACACTGCACAAAAATATAACATGTTAAAAAGAGGTAATTAGATGAATATTACTAGTCCTTACTCTATCCAATTATAAGGGTTACTTTAGTACTCTTTGTATATCAACTAACTGTTGGTTATGTAGGGTTATTAGATTGTAATGATACATGTATTATGTTATGTTACCCTTTGAGCAAACAGGTTGATGATCGAGTACAGCGCAGTGTTGGCCGTTGAGACAAGGGCCGCCGCGAGCACACGGGTCAGCGCAACGGCCGCCGATACACGCCAGTGTCGGAGAGCAGTGCTCGTGGCCGCCGCACTCTGTCGCTGTACATATAAACTTTTATTAGCATATCTATCAATTTTATACGCCTTAGAGGTTCCTCTCATTGATATTAACAATGTAATTTGCTGCTTTAACAAGAAATAATACAACCAGCCAAAGAAAATTTGGGAAGTTACTAAATCTACTATATTAATATTAATTTAAAAATTAGGAGATCGATAAATAATTACTCTGAGAACCCTGCTTAGTAAAATAAAGACAGGGTTGTAAAGGTCAAATTATGTAAAGTATAAAAATAAATACAATCGTGTAGATAGGAAGTCATTCCACATTCAAATGCATACCAATTATGCATTCCCACAATCGTAAACATTGAAAATAAAACGTGTTACCAATTATGCAAGTACATAATGAAAAGTAGTAGGTACCGCAATAAATGGCTTTTACTTTAGAATATCATTAGAAACAGGGAAAATTGGCAATATATCTTTTTCCCTACAAAAGAAATAAAATAATTCAAGAGTTAAAACAGCTGCAACATCACACTATATAATTGCAATATATACGTACATATGTATTGTGTAGTAGTAGTAGGCATTCTAAATTATTCTGCAAACTCTGTCTCGTGGCGGTTTTGTTGCATAACGTATTAATGCCAAAGCGTTAAAAGCATTAAGAGTAAATTTTATTAGAGCATCCATCACCATAATGAGCGTGACATTAATAAAAAAAAAATGAGAAATATGTACACTACAATAAAATAACATGCAAGAAAATCTACCTGATGCAGAAGGAAGTCATACTGTGGAGTAAGATATATATGAACATGCTAGAAACAACAGAAAACAAAGATAGAAAAAGAACCGCATGAGAGTAGAAACTATAAAAAAATCCTGTAATAATGAAGAACAAACAAGATTATTAAGATCCATATAAGACTCTAATATACTAATGGATACACTAATATTTGAACTTTTTGCTCTCTATTGAATTACCTTTAATGCAGCCATGTTTTTCATCGTGTGTGAATCCTTTAGGACAAAACTTGCAAACGGGGTGGTGATCTTCTACTGAACATGGAGCACCACCACAAGCGCCTTTGCATGGGTCCTTACATTGAAAATCACGGCATGCTAAGTTACTTGGGCACCCGCTGTCTCTCAAGCAAATTGATAGTGATGGATTACACTCTTCAACACACACGCACATAGCGCGATGATCTACTACTTCACATTGCTTTCCTTTAGGGCACATTGGCTCGACAGATGCTTGGCACGGATTCACACACTTGGAATTACGGCAGGCCGCATTTGATGGACACTGTTCGTCTCTTGTACACTCTGCATGTTCTGGTGCACAAGTCAATTCTCCTCTTTCATTCAAAGCAAAACCATTCCGGCACACACAAATAGGTCGGTGGTCTCGTACTTCGCATTTCTGATTTAGTCTACAGTTTTGATATCCGAGGCATGGGTTGCGGCACTGATTTGTGCTGAGATCACAAGCCAGTTTGGAAGGGCAAGATTTAGTTTCAGAACATGTGAATGTGGTAGTGTTTTCGTTTGTGGACTTGCACGTAGGGTCGAGGCGGCACGCAACACGCGGCTGGCCAATATAACACTGTGGGCAGGAGCACTGCGCTTTGTGCATCAGGGTCACACACAGAGCATCTTCTCCACACACACCTCGTACTGTGCAGGGGTCCACGCAGTGTAAGCTGAGACACGCTCTGTCTACTGGACAATCCTTGTCGCTCGTACATTCGATACCTAGGAAGATGTGAAAGAAGAAAGCAGAGTCGAAAGAGCGGTACCTTCAGCCGCGAAGAGGAAACTTTCTCACGAGACAGTGCATGCTTTTTGAAACTGATAGTTTATGACCAGAGATAATGTATATAACGGAATATTATAATACAAGCGATATGTACATGAAGCCGAACAAAATGTTACTGACGATTTGATAACTTAAGCACGAACGGTGAGAATGCTTCCACTAATTAAACATACCGTTACGTACAGATATGTTAAGGCATCAAAATGTAATGGCAAACATATTTGTACACAAAGTATTTTCTATTAGCTTGAGGTAATTAGAATCATTCCTTTTTAATAAGGGGTTCCTAAGGATGTTTGCAATGCTACGTAAAATTATACATACAATTCAACATAAACTTCCTTTGGTACCCACCCCTATGTATCAGAGATGAACTAGAATATATGTAGACCCATTAAATTCCATTTGTATTTACAAACATGTGGTAGAAGACCTATTACATAAAGTTGACATATCCTATATTACAAAAATTTTAAAATAATTATAATGTTCAAATATAGACAGAAATGCTAATAATCAGAGTCATGATTATGCCTACATCTGTAAAATGACAAAACTCAACTTTAAGGAAGTACAGACAGACTGTACAGAGTGCGTTTTTACATGGTGTCAAAACGATCGACAAAATCTAGGGTATATCTACTCACTGGTGTGACATTCGACATCAGCTTGTCCTTCTGTTCCAGGTATACAACGACATACAAATTCTGCACCTTCTCTTAAGCATTCACCATTAATTCCACAACCAGTCGTTCTACAATCAACTACACTGCGTTCTTGGGCACCTGAAATTGATTAAATTAGTTCAAAACAGGTCCATGAGCTTTCATTTTGAAATAACGTAGAAGTCAAAAAATTAAAAATAGTGAGCTAATGAATATTTTTGTTAAAAAATGTGAGCTAATGAATCTTATTGAGAAAACTAAATCTTCTCTATGAGTGTAAGGACGTTAATTCAATTCCAATTTTTCTTAAAAGTTTTTAATTGTAACCCAAACTACTAAGGATACGTATTTAATGAAATACAACACATAATATATTGTGTTTAAAAATATTTTAAGAAATAGTTACTTACATTCTATATTTGGATCACCGTTAGGATAGTTTCGTGGACAGAAGCACTGTGCCTCTCCATGCGCACCGATATGACACTGCGCGTTAGTGCCACATGATTTATATGCACAAGGTTCCATGGCACCACAGAAACATTGTTTGTGAGGATTGCCAGCACAGTTTGGTGGGCATGTGCACTCATATTGGCCTTCTTCTAAGTCACGGCACCGCGCACTCACCCCACAAGGGTTTCGTAGGCAGCTGCCGGCCGGTGGCTTCGAACATTCAATTTTTGCATTTCCAATGTAATTTGGTGGGCAAGTACACTGAGGATTACCATTCACTGCTCGGCATATAGCATTGATACCACATGCCCCTGTACAAACATTTTTGCACGTGCCGTCCGAACATTTCTCGTCGGCGCCACAGTCTTCGTTATGAGAACATTCGTATTGTTTACATTCTTCAGAAGGATCACCGGTATATCCGCTGGGGCACTTGCAAATAGCGCGATGTTTGATGGCAAAACAAGCGGCATTCTCGCCGCAAACATCTTCTCGGCAAGCTTTCACGCAGAGTTTAGAAGAGCATAACATATCATCACCACAATCTGCATCGTAATTACATCCCGGAATGCAAACATTTTCTTGGCATATTTGTCTTTCTGGACATTTATTCGGCACTGTACATGTAGATCTGCAAGCTCCATTGTAACATTTTTCTCCACATGAACATTCAGAATCAGTTTCACAAAGTGAAACGCAATAGCCACTATCATCACATGGACAAAAGCCGTCGCATAACATTGTTTTTCTTTTACACTCCACAAGAGGATTACCAGTGTAGTTGCTGGAGCAACTGCACTGAGCGCGGTGATTTTGTACTTTACAGTCTGAGCAGATTCCACAAACTGCATTTTCACTACAGGGATCTACGAAAAATAAGATTTTGTGTTTATTTCATTTAATCCATCGATGTCAATAAATAATTGCTGAAAAACCTGATAATTTACCTTTGCATTGTCCATTCAAACACGCTTGATTAATGTCGCATTGGTTATCGTCTCGACAGCCCTGCTTACAAATCCTACCATCGCAAATGTATCCTTCACTGCAGGCTTCATTGCTATTACAAACTACTCTGCATATGCCACGAATACATTTTTCATTGGATAAACAAACGCTGTCACTGAAAATGCAATTAAACAATATAGCAAATAATATAATAGTCATTTTACTTTAAACGTTAGGATAATTTATATTTAATGCATCTTACCTTCTACAAGATGGTTGACAAGTTCCTCCATAGCAATTGAAACCGTCACGACAGTTCTCATTATCCTTGCAAGGCGAAATCTTTCTCCGACAAACAGTTTTTGGATCTCCAAACAAAGTCGGTGGACATGTACACACAGGTTGATGGTCTTTCGTCGTGCAAAGGGCATTAGCTCCGCAAGAAGCAGGTTCAGTACAAGGATCAACGCACTGTCCTGATAAGCAAGCTAGCTGACTAGAGCAGTCGGAATGTGATCGACAGCCAGTTACGCAAATGCGGCCGTCACAAACTTCTTCGTCAGAACACTGTTCATCTGAAGTACAGGCATATCGACAAACTCCCGCATCACACCGTTCGCCTTGAAGGCACTGGGACCCATCAGATGTGCAAGCAGGACGACAACGGTCATCTTCACATCGCCAGCCGGTAGCACAGTCAGTATGCATATGACAAGATAACGAAGGAGCTCGCACACATCCGATGTTAGGAGTTGGGTTAGGTATTAAACCTTCTAAGCATGAACACGAAGCTTTTCGTTCCACGACAGAGCAGGCAGCGTTCGGACCACAAGGATTAACATCATTATCACAAGGGTTTTGGCAAACATTATTTTTGCAAAATTCATCAGGTCCACAATCTTCGTCGTGTCTACATCCATACTGACAACTGTTTCCCAAACAAATGTGTCCCAAGAAACAATCATTGTCTACACGGCATGTTACTGTAAACAAACATATTAACATATTATATATATTTATATTATATGACTAGCTTCCGCCAGAGGCTTCGCCCGCGTGCGATAAAAAGCAGCCTATAGCAACAGAACAAAATCGAAGTATACTTATTTTTTTTTATTAATCGTCTCATTTTTGTGGCTACATCTCCAATGGGCCTATTACTAAGTCTCCGCTATCTATCCGTCCATAGAAAGAATTGTACGGATCTAACTAATAGGTATAACAAATATTTCATAAAACATATTGTATTTTATTTTATTTTATACCGGTACGCATCGAGCGCGACAACCGTTACACAGAAATAATCCTTATAGCATGATTCACTGCTGAGCTATTAGGAGTTACACGTGCTATTGTGAGTTAACCATATGCTGTAAAACATTTTTTTTTAGATAATTTTATGTAGAATATTTGCGTGCTACATAATTTCTATGTAGCCTTAAGTAGCGCGTGTGTAGCTTTAAGGGTTAGAACCCTTAAAGCTAAAAAAAGGAGTAACCTCTCCCGTTTTCCCAACATTTTCCTTCACTGCTCTGCTCCTATTTTGGTAGCGTGATGAAAAGTATCGTATAACCTGCCCAGGAGTACAAAGAATAATTGTACCAAGTTTCATTAAAATCCGTCGAGTAGTTTTTGTTTCTATTAGGAACATACAGACAGACAGACAGACAGACAAAAATTTTACTGATTGCATTTTTGGGATCAGTATCGATCACTAATCACACCCCGGTAGTTATTTTGAAAATATATTTAATGTACAGAATTGACCTCTCTACAGATTTATTATAAGTATAGAAGATATAACGACCACGTCTATTAATTGACAATATTTGAATAGTACAGAGATGCATTCAGGACAGATATCTGTTAAGTTTGTATATAACAACAATAATGATTTGAATAGTTTGTTCATCGACTACATGAACATCGGAGCTATCAAGCAACCGACTTCTGCGTATCGTGTCACGGGTTTGAAGCTTGATTTTCATATGAAACAACTATTTTTTTCTTATGGAACAACTTTTTATAATATCTACAAGATTTGGATCTGGGTTTGAGTATCACAGTCAGTTTAGGTATAAAAACCTTACGACATAAAAAAAATACTAGTGTGGAGAAATGATAAAAATTTTAACATTGTTTAGCAAATATAGGTTACTCAATATTTAAACTTACACAAGCATGTTCCTTTAGAGCATCTTTCGTTCAGGGCGCATTCTTCATCGGCTTTACATTTGGGTAAACACATAGAATCTTGACACATATAACCATCTTCGCATTCTCCTGCTGCACCGCACAATCGCGGCACTAAAGAAATAATCAAATATAAATTAATAAAACGTTTGAATTTTTTTACAATATTTAAAAAAACACGGCACACCGATTGTCGTTCAACTTACTTCTAACACATTCCACGTCTTGATTTCCCGTAAAGCTCTGGGGGCAACTACACTGCACTACGTGATTGTCAGTTCGGCATAGAGCATTCAATCCACAAGCTTTTTCCATTAGGCAAGGGTTAACACATTGGCCATTGAAACATTTTTCAATAGATCCACACTCTTCATCCACGAGACATAAACCTAAATAGTTACAAATTTAGTTAGGTTAGAATTATGAATGTATGTTTAAAGTAATGTATGAACTATGTAAGAACTTACTTTTGCAAAGCCCATTGTGGCAGTATTGGTCTTCTCCGCAATCGCTTCTTTGCTTACATGTCACTTCTTTCAGTTTACAACCTTTTTCACTAGCTGCATTACCAACATAACCGTTCTTACATTTGCACTGGCCAGTGTGTCTTGATGCAATACATTCAGCATTAGCGCCACATTTAGTAGTTTCGCAGGCATCTACAAAAAATGCAAACAGCTGTAACATTACATCCTTGTTTTGTCATTCCATCAAAATAATTCACATACTGAATATTTAACTAACCTGTACATTTACGAATACCGTCGACAACTGTACAGCGAGCTACAGGGGGACAATCTCTGTTGAATCTGCACTCTTGAGCTTTGCGACAACCTTCTTCATAAGGATCTCCGACATACCCAGCAGGGCAGGTGCATTGAGCTCGATCTCTTAGATTTTTGCACTCTGCACCATTGCCACATGGATTAGAAGCACATCTATTAATTTTAATGCAGCCAATTTTAGGGTCACCTGTATAGCCGGGTTGACAGTAACACACATGTTTATGTTTCTCTGAAGAACATATAGTATTGTCACCACAAGTGTTTTCCACTAAACATGCGATTTTACACATATTTTGATGGCATTGTTTATCATCGGTACATTGAACGTCACTTTCGCATTCTTTTCTTTTACATCCCTGTAGAGCATCTCCAAAGAATCCAGGTGCGCACGAACATGTGGGTTGATGATTTTTGCCAACACATACAGCCTGTCTTCCACATGGATGTCTTTCGCATACTTTGATGCATTGTGGCACACCTTTTCTTCCCACAGTACATCTTTCGTCATCAGCACAATCCTCGTTTGTTAAACACTGCACTTCTTTTGTACAAATTCTGTTTAAGCAGAATTGGAAATCTGGACAGGTATTGTTCGAATTACAAGTGACTCGACATGTATTTTGAATACATAGTTGATCGTTTAAGCAGTCTCTTGAGTTTTTGCACATACCTGGAAAAAGAACCATTACATTAAAATCAGTACCAAGTTTGACGTTACATAATTTAAACATTCACTTTCGAGTACATAAGCAACATAAAAATGCTTACCAACACATAAATTATCAATACACTTCGTTCCTGACGAGCATCGGCTGTCATCTGTGCAGTATTGAATAGGAACACAACCAAGAACAGGATCTCCCGTATAACCAGACGAGCATGTACAGTGACCGATATGATTTCTTGAAAGACAGTCTGCATTTTTGCCGCATGCACGAGGTATACTGCATGCATTTTTACATTTGTAGTTGACACAGGCTTCTTCTGCTGAGCAATCACTATCTTTTGTACATTCAAATTTAGTACATTGCTTGTAAGGATCACCTTGACTGTCTGGTGGACATTCACATATAGGCTCATGTTTAGAAACTATACACTCAGCATTTTCACCGCATGGTGCAGATTTTTCACAAGGATCGATGCAATAATTATTGTAACATTTAGTTTTATCGGAACAATCTCCATCAGAGAAACATTCACCAGGAGATCTACAGTTTCCAGAGCTTGTATCTAACACAGTACCATTAACACATGTACAACTATAAGAACCTCGATTGTTCACACAATGCGCGTTCAAAGGACATGGGTTACTCAAGCACTCATTTATATCTTGACAAACGTTGTTGACTAAATCAAACCCAGTCTCACAATTACACAAAGATTTGTGGTTTTCTATTGTACATGTTCCGCCTTGGCAATAGGTTTCCTCACATTTGTCTGCAAAAGATATTTCAGTTAGGTTTTATATTTATTTAAAGATTTAATTACAGAAATTAAATAATATTTCTTTAAAATATTATACATACCAGAACACTTGTTATTCCTCATATTACAGAATTTATCGCTTGAACAATCCGAGTCATCTATACATTCTACCTTGAAGCATCCGATTTTTTTGTCAATTGGATTCCCAAGAAATCCTTTTTCACAAGCGCAAGCTACTCTGTGCTTTACAACTGTACATAATGCGTTTAGACCACAAGTTTTAATTTGACATGGATTAGAACATTTTCCTCTTATGCAAGCCAATGAATCTTCGCATTGATTATCACTTCTACATTGATTTGGTAATAAACAACCACTTGTGTAGGGATCACCGATAGCACCAACTGAGCAAACACATTTATAAGATCCTGGTGTATCGACACATTGTGCTGATGGATGACAGGGATTATTTACACACTCGTTTACATTTGTACATTCGTCGCTTGTTAGTTCAAATCCAGGAAGGCACTGACACTTTGCTGACTTACATAACTGATTATTCAAGCAGTCAGAATCGGTTTTACACCCTGGAATACATATACCAGAACTGCAGTGTTCGCCATGTAGGCAGTTGCTACTTGAGTGACAGATTTTGTGGCATCTACTATCACTGCATTTTTCTCCAATAGCACAACCAGAATTATCTTGGCAAGGTACTTGACATAGGTATCCAATGCACATGTGATCTGGTGGGCACTCTGAGGTCCTCGAGCATGAACTTGGTTTTCTCACACAGCCTTGTTGAGGACTAGGTGTTCCTTGGAATCCAAGAGGGCATTCACATTTGGTACTGTGATTGATTCTGGAACAAATTGCATTTGGACCACATGCTCTCGTGGACAAGCACGGATTGACACACTTGTTATTAACACAGGCTTCTTCGCTAGGACAGTCTTCTTCACTTCTACAGCCAATGAGACATTGTCCACCTACACAGGCTTGTCCTATGCCACACTGAGCATGTTTAGAGCATTGAGTTACGCATAAATTTTTGGCACAAGCTTCTCCCGGATCGCATTGGTTAGAATGTTTACAAGCTGTGAAACATTGGCCATTCGAACAAACATCACCATTGCAGTCCTGTTCGTTTGAGCATACTAAAAGCTTTTTCTTGCAGGCATTGCCTTTTATCATTTCATAACCATCAGGACATACACAAATTGCTTTTCTATCCACAACTTTACATAAAGAGTTAATTCCACAAGCACCATCACAGGGATTGACACATCGGTTGTTTACGCATGTGGTTTCTAGTGGACAGTCGTCATCACCTTTCGTACATTGGTCTTGCCTTCTACAACCTCCAGTTCGGCCATCTTCGACAAAACCTGTTGGGCACCTGCATACGTATGATGAATGTCTTGGCTCACATATAGCAGTAGCATGGCAAGGATTGGGATTGCAAACTTCGATTTTTCGGCAGTTAACATCTGGTATTGGATCTGGTTTATATCCGTTAGGACATTGACAAGTTGCTTTATGGTTTTCAGCAATACAAACGGCATTGTCACCGCATGAATCTTCTCCACAAGCATTCATGCATGAATGTGTCATACGATTGCACAATTCGTGTGCCAGACAATCTGCATTATAAATGCAAGGCACAGACTGACATCCTTTTTCTAAATCATTAGGGTTTCCGGTAAATGGACCCGAAGGACACTGACACTTTGCAATGTGATTGTTGGTAACACAAATGGCATTGGGGCCGCATATAACTTGTTGACATGCAGACACACATTTTTTCACATCACCAACATGTTTGCATACTTCATTTTCCCTGCATTGCACATCATCTGAGCATTGATTTTTGTTGATAGCAATACATCCATCACGATCATTTGGATTACCAGCAAAACCAGTCAAACATTCACATTTACTTTTGTGATTTCTCGTTAAACACTTTGAATTTTGTGGACAAGTAAATAGCAGACAACTGTCTTCACATTTTTTAACCCCAAGTACATCTTTTTGACAAGACTTATTATCGTCGCAATCATCGTCAGAAACACAATTTGGTGTTGAGGGTTGTTCGCACACGGAATTGACGGGATTCCAAAGGAAACCATCTTTACATTCGCAACCGGGATTGTTGTCTATAACTCGACAAACTTCGTTAGCACTACAAGCTATTGTTGAGCAAAGATCGAAACATCGCTTTGCGGTGCCATCTACTGAAATGCAAACTTGAGGTTCGTTACAGTCGCTGTTTACGTTACATTCCATTTCGTGAGGTTCTTGTACAAGTAAATGGCATCCTGTTTTTACATCAGTAGGTTTTCCAACATATCCTTCAGCACAAATACAATGAGCTTGATGATTAGCTCCTATACAGAGAGAATTTGGACCGCATTGTAATTTACTACATGAGTCCACACATTTACGAACGTTTTTAGCTACTTGGAAACATATTTCTGAATCTTTACAGTCCCCATCTACCATGCACTTATTTTCCGGCACACAGCCTCTTTGTAGATCATTAGGGTTGCCACTATGTCCAGGAAGACAATGACAACTTCCTTCTTCGCATATAGATTTAGGACCACACATCATCGTACGACAAACATCGACACATTTTGATTTTTCACACATGTAACCTTCAGGACAGGTAGCGTTATGCGAACAAGTGCAAATGGCACCATCGACACATTTTGTAATAGATACTTGTGAGCATAATTCGTAAGGGTTTCCAACATATCGGCTTTTGCATATGCAACTGAAACTTCCAGGTGTGTTTATGCAGATGGCATTTTCACCACATGGTTTACTGCTACATTCATCTATATCAGTGCATTGTATATTAGGGTTTCCTATATAGCCTGGAGGGCACAGACATTCAACATGAGATCTCGTTTGTTGGCAAACTGCATTGACGCCACAAGAGGCTTTAGCACATGTTATTTGTCGGCGAGGTAAACATGTTTTATATGGATTGCCCGTAAATCCTTTATTACATTTACAAGCATTGTTTTGTCCATAAACACAATGAGCATTTTGGCCACATCCAGGTTCACAAGATGGGGGCGAAATAGCTGAAAAACAAGAACGAAGTTACTTTTAACTCGCTAAACAATTGAACATTTAAAAGATATGAAAAAGAAACAATCGTTGTACTCACGAGGCATGCAGAGTAAGTCTGGATTACCAACGAAAAACGCATTACAAACACATTTGCCGCTCTGTTGGTCGCATGAGGCGCCAACTCCACAGACAACGCCATCACAACGTTGTCTGCAACGACCGGCAACACACATCAAAGGCTGTTCACAAGGCACACCAGGTCCACAAGTATCTCTTCTGCAAGCTCCTCCGGGGAACGGGTTTCCTACCATACCTTCAGGACAAACGCATGTCGGTCCAGTCTTTGATATTATGCATTGAGCACCCGAAGCGCATGAATATGTATCACATCCTAAAAAAACAGAAAATTGATTATTTATTAAATTTTGTTGAACTTTATATTCTAATTAATACACAATTCTGTATATTTAAACATCTTTTTTAAGAAGTTTTATTACTTTAAATATAAAAGTATATCTGACCCTTCTTTTATTTAGCGGTGAACTCTCTAAGACTTTTTGTAAATGATTGGAAAATTATCAAAAAGAGCTTACCAGAAATGCATTTGCCGCCTTCAGGTTTGGTGTAACCAGGATTACAACGACACCACGCGGCGTGATTCTCTACTTCACAAAAAGCGTTAGATCCACACGAAACGCTTGTGCAAGGTGATAAACAAGTGCTATTCAAACACGCGAGGGTATTTGGACATTCCTCGTCTGAAGTGCATAAACGCTTTTCTGATGGTATTTCTTCGGCCGCACCTAAACAAGTAAATAAACCCATTATTACGTTATATTACAGATCAAAAATTAACGCAACAGGTTACTCTCCTGTAATTATACTTACATCCCGATTTGTAGGGATCGCCAACCATGTTAGGAGGACACTCACAGCGATATCCACCTTTCTGGTCGTGACAAATCGCACCAAAAGCACACGGTGCACTGTGGCACTCGTTAATATTCGTACATCCTGTGTAGGGATCTCCTTCGAATCCGGTCATACACATACATCGAGGTGGGTCACTTGGGGTACATTTAGAATTAATGCCGCAAGTAAATCTTTCACAGGGATTTTTACATTTTTGTCCGTCAGACACATCTAAATAAAATGGTGGTGGGCAAACACATTTTCCAGGTTGAATACATTTTTCATTCGGGAAACAATCTGAATCACTGATACATCTCTTTTGATTCAACGTGCAATGTCCAGTTATTGAATCTTGACTATACCCAGCTGGGCATTTACATGTAAAAGATCCAATCGTGTTGACACACTCTGCGCCGAATCCACAAACGGGTTGACCAGATGTACACTCATCAATATCGTCGCATGACCCTTCAGCTGTTTGGGTGAAACCGATCGGGCAAGCGCAATAACTAACTCCATCGGAAATAACAATACACTCTGCGCCTTTTCCACATTTGTTATCTTTAGTACAGCCGGAAAGCACACAACTACCATCGATTACCTTGTAAGGTGGTTGGCACTGGCAAGTAATATCGCTGCAAACTTCACAAAGATTGTAAGGGTTTCCGCTATATTCTGCCGGACATTTACATTCATAGCTGCCAGGTAGATTCTTGCAAATAGCATTAAGACCACACGGTGACCGACCATGTTGGGTACATTCATTAATATCTTCGCATATTCCAGTTTCTTTGCTGCGAGTAAATCCTTGCGTACAAACACAAACATTTTCGCCGTCATGTAAAATACATTGTTCACCCTGAGGACACGGATTGCTATTACTGCATTCAATCGGTCTTTTACCAGGTATACAGCCGTCCACATAAGGGTCCCCATTAAATGTACTTGGGCACTCGCATAAGAAACGTCCGGGAAGATTTTTACAAACTGCTCCAACACCACAAGGATTTTCAATACATTCATTTATATCTTGACACCCAGTTGGTGATAACGGGTCGCCAGCAAAACCACTTTTACATGTACATTGAGCGACCTGTTCATTCAATAGACATTCTGAGTTACTTCCACATTGCAAAGCTTCACATGGATCTGTAAAAAAATGAGTAAGGTTATAAATTATATTTCAATTATATAGTTATTTTATTGAATGTACTTCGGTGATGTACTTACGTCTGCATTCATTTCCAACATTCGGTTCTGGACATAAGCATCTGGAATTAGGGTCGCATACAGCATTGCCGGGGCATTCATTATCAGTTTTACAAGTAAGTATTTCCACACATCGTACTCTGGGATCTGGATCTGGTATGCTACCTTCAGGGCATTCACAAGAATACGATCCATCACGATTTATACAATCGGCTCCAATACCACAAGCACTCTCTATAAGGCACTCGTCGATATCTGTGCACTGCTTGTAAGCATCGCCCGTGTAACCTTCTGGGCATTGACAACTAAAACTGCCAGGTGTGTTACTGCAGCGAGCATTATTACCACAGCGACCCACCGGTCCCACTGTTGTATCACACTCATTTATATCTATACAACCAGCTGCAATATCTGTGGGATCAAAGGTCCAGCCATCCTCACAAACACAATATGCTTCTATTCCATCCGGTTTGCAATACGAATGCTCGCCACATTTCACATCCTCACATGGAGCCCGGCAAGCGACTCGTGGAGGAGCACCAACAAATCCATTTGCACATTGACAACTAAATCCACCGGGCTTATTCATACATATTGAATTGTCTCCACATAAAGATGAATTTTTAGCACATTCATCAACATCAATACAAATCGACCCTCGAGCGTCGAAACCTTCTTTACAAAAACATTGGTTATCTATGCACTCCGCATTATTGGTACAGTCGAAATTTGATTTACACAAGGTATTAACGTCGACCTGAAAATTCAAAACTTGTATTAACAATAACATAATTTCACCTGCGAAATCTAAAAATGTACTATCAATATTACCTGCTCGCAAGCAACTTGTGGGTCTGGTTGAGCTCGGTAACCTTGTGGACAAATACAATTGTATCCTGGCGCCGCATTTTCACAGATGGCGTGAGTGCCACAGGGATGTTCAAGCGTTTCACATTCGTTGATGTCGCGGCACCCTCCGGCAACACGCGCGTCTCCTGTATACTCTGGCTTGCAGGTGCACACGAAGCTGCCGACGGTGTTGGTACATACAGCGTGTTCACTGCACACTGCTTGACTATCCTTACATTCATCCACGTCTGGTGTAACAAACAACGCAACCACTAATTACATCAGCCACGTGCCATTACCCGTTTGTAAATATACGCACGCAGTAGGTACGCCGACAGCCACTACGAAGAGGAAGTGATAGACACATAGACGACTCAGAAGGCGACAGAGAAAACGACGAAAAATACAAGAAGAAGATGGCATTGAAAGAACTTTACACATCCTTCGATGCACTGGAACACAAAAATGAACCCAGTCGTCGTAAAGTATTTGTTTTCGACGACGGATACGATGAATCGCTGAAAAATCGTTTTATTTGTCTATTAAATGTTCCGAATGTTATAACCGTCAAATTAGTAAAAGCGTGAAGCTACCGAGCGTCAAAGTTCGGTAGTTTTCAGCTCGATTCGTTAAACGCGATTTGGTTATATTGTCACAAAGCGTTAGACCACAGAAAATAAAGGTTGGTTAGGATTAGGTCACACCTACTGGCGTTTCGTTTAAAGACTCACCAGTGCACAAAACGTCTGGATTGCCTTCGAAACCTGGTGGGCACAGACAGCGATAAGCGCCTGGAAGGTTCTCGCAAATTGCTGAAATTCCACAAGTAGCGTGTGCACATTCGTCCTGATCGCGGCAGCCGACGCGGGGGTCGCCCTCGTAGCCTGGTGGACAGCTGCACTCGTAGCCGCCGTCCACGTTGCGACAAACTGCGCCAGGACCGCAACTCCCCTCAACCGCGCACTCATCGATATCAACGCACTATATCAAACAAATTATTTGTATTTATCGCTCAAGAATATTAAATTATAATGCTGATTAACTGTTACTGTATACTTCAGATCAGTAGTGCTGAATCAGTAGTGATACAGTCGTTTATAGAAAAACATATTTTAAAAAGATACACATGAAAATACCGAAAATTTCACTTACGCCATCGAATGCATTTCCAGTATAACCATCCTGGCATGCACACGTGTAGTTTCCTGGATAATTTTGACACACAGCATTTACACCGCAAGCACCAGGACGTCGACATTCGTCAATATCTGCGATTTAATAGTAGGGTTTACTATCTTACTACTTGTTAAATGTTTCTAAATATAATACTGTTTTTATAATAACTATCGTGAGACATACCAATAAATTAACTAAAATTCGCGGGTTACTCACGTGTAAATGTTGAGAAAAGCTCTACTAGTTCTTCTCTGTGGTTCGAAACTAGTAGAGCTTTTCTCAACATTTACACGTGAGTAACCCGCGAATTTTAGTTAATTTATAAACATAATACTGTTCACAGACAAATTCGCATTTACCAGATACAATGTATGCAATTGCATTTAAATTATTAGAACGTTAAGTACCTCTGCACTCTTCTTCCCCATCACCTTCGAAACCTCGATTACATTTGCAAATAAAATGAGCTGGCAAGTTACAGCACTCTGCGTTTGCTACGCAACGCGATGCAACTGCTGGGTCTTCGCACTCATTTATATCTGAAATAAAATTGATTACTTATGTATTTTATCTTATTAATGCTAGCTTGTGAAAACATTTCTAAAATTACATTAGTTGATCTACATCATTTTGATTTGTTTTGATGAGTTCATTACCTCTGCAAGTGAAACCGTCGCCTTCGTAGCCTGGGAAACACGAACATTGGAAACTACCGACCGTGTTCGTACAGTGAGCAAAAACATCGCATGGTCTTTCTTTGCATTCATTAACATCTAAAACAGACAAGAAAGTAAAGTAATGCATTTGCTGCAATAATACATAACAATAACACATCATAACAACCACATACCTGGTTCCTGGCAGTTGCAGCCGCCAAAACCATCATTACAATGGCACACCCCGTTTAGACAACGACCATTTATACATTGGGCGCCATCTTCTTTGGTACAATCATCTACAAAATTGAAAGAAATATGTACATTGAATCAGATATCAAGCAATTCGTAATGGCAAATGTTACATGTAGGTACTATACATATTTTTAAATGTATGATGTGTAAGAATATGTGTTAAACAACTCACCTGTACATTTCAACTCTTTCGCGAGTTCGTCGGATCCCTTATAGCAATCCTTTACACCGTCGCATAACTTTGATAATTCATATAATTGTAATATTTGTGTCGATTCGTTTACTTGACAGCCAAAATAGCCGTCTTCTAAATTTAAGAAAAATACTTCTCGTTTTATTCCTAAACCTATTCCATATTGGCTTTGTGTCGCTACCTGTGAAAGACAGAATCAATGTTTCGACAATTTGATTTTGAAGCATCTCTGTAATATTGCTCAATAGGTACTGGATTCTTGTATACATAATAATTTATTTATAAATCTATTACTCACATTTGTCGTTGTGACTAAGAGCGTCCAAACCACGAGCGGTAAGGTGTCTATATACATTGTCTCTGTAACAAAACAAAAAATACGCCATTAAAAACACAATAATTTTTAATTTAATAAAAAAATTGAACAAAATATCCATTAACATTCTGATTTCGCATTGCCAAACAGTGTGTTACAGGTCTCATTTCTTATGTATGATTTCCTGAGAAAGTTCGAATTTGCTCGTGTAAACAACGACGAACTCAATTTTGGTTTATGCTTTAAAGGCTGATTTTTCAATGGTTAAATAAAAGTTATGTGGGGAATAATTTTGATGGTGTCCCGTTAGAATGTTTCTATAAGACAGGTAAAACAATATTATTCCTCAGATAACATTTATCTCACTATTGAAAAATCAGCGCAGTTTCAAATATAAATGTACAAATAAGGACCCTATAACTTTCTGAAATAGTTTAAAACTATCTCACATCATTTTCGATTAGGCAAATTATTGACTTTTAGTCATTTAGTTTCATTCATAATTTAATTATGAGTCACATCTTTTATCCTCGAAGACTAAGAAGACAAGCACAAATCAATGGTATATAATGATACCACACGTACAAGGCACAAAGTACACCGAGTTTTCACCAATTACAATTAAAATAAGTCTTAATTTAGACATTTTTATTTTGGATTACCATTTTGACACCTTTGTAAACTAAAAGCAACTCATAACTGGCAATGTTTAATTATTACTCAAGTTTATATGTGTTTTAACTTATAAACTCAACATAAACATACTTTTATTGACCTAATTATTGATTCTATTTAATTTAGTGATTAATTTTCGAACACATAAGTTCGATAAAAGAATAAATACTCAAATATCTCACTCAAATTATTCCAATAAAAGAAATACATATGTATTGATACATCAAAAACAAGTTCGGAGACTTAAATTAAAGAAATCGTCATTCAGTGTTCTTGTCAGCCATTCCAATGTTCGCCACACAACTCAATAAACCTGTTTGTAAAGAAAACGCTCTCGATCTTATATTACAGACTTTACAAGTGTATTTTATTTCATGCAGAGGTAAACACAGTATTCACAAACTCAATTTCGTGCCTATTTTAGTTTTGCAATAACAAGGAGGTTCTAGAACATTTCTGTTTCTGAACCTTCTTAGGGTATTGAAACTTTTCTTGTAGGTAATAAAGTAAAACAAAAATTATGAACAGGTTGATCAATCGATTCCTTTTCTCTTTGTTTTTGATTTCACACTACAGCTTAATATAGTCTTGATGTCAGACTACAGCTTAATACATTTCTAATTCAATTGTTTATTTAATTCAAAAGATTCAGTTAACTTTGAGTATCTGAATGAATAAGACTAACCCCAAAAACCGAGTAATGTGTTAGTTATTTATAGATTATGAGAGTAAGTTTTCGTTGATAATTACAACAACGACAAAGGCGAAGGTTGTGGCGCGAGGTCATATAACTGTGTGAGCGGAGTATTGTCGTTTACCTACTTGTCTGCATCGCGGCGACCAGCATAATAGCCAAGCATAAGTCCAAAACATTGTAAATACAAAATGCAAGTAATTTGGCGCTTGTGTTAACGATGTTGCGTGTGTTGCTCATTGCATGCCGATTTACAAGTGCGTTTGCTCTTCACCTAAGCGTGAGTCTCACCGCGTGTCGTTGTGCCAGTTGTCACAGCCGCTGCACTCGACGTTTGTATGTGGGTACGCCATTATTTGCATTTGCAGATAAAAACAATTATTGCTACTCTAAAATTGAACGCTTTGGACATGTACAGGCCATATTTTAAATGTTAAATATGCGTTTATTTTTTCTCAGTTTTAACTAAATGTAATGTGCGGATAAAAAGTTACACGGAAAGTAACGAATTTTTTCGTCCTATTCTCTACTCATGAGGATTGTTAAACCTGGCAAGGACCAATACGAATCTTTCTAGTGTATTTAGAGACCCCTGAAAAACGGTAAAGGTAAACACTGTCAGAAAAAGTGGACTTATAGTTTGAAATCACCAATCCGGTTAGAGCTACTGTGGTGATTAATGTTCTTTTAGGTACTTACTTATAGGCTGATGGTGTGACTGCACCAATAGGATTAATATTGAATACAGTTGAATGTTATGAATATTCTGTTTAATATCATATATTTATGGCGTCATTTGAGCCTAATATAACTAACTTTTGCTTTTTTTAATAGATGTAAAAAATAAAAGACACTTTGTATAAAATAACCAAAATAAATATAAATATTTGTGAATATTGCTCAAGCAGCCTACTCTCTGTAAATGATATGAAAACATGAAAAAAACCTTAAAAATTGAGTAACGTTTATTTAAACAAAGATGCAAGTACATGTGTACGTTGATCACAAAAGGAATATTGGCAAGGTCCCTTAGATGGTGTCATAACTTATGCATTATAATACACAAAGGCTAAACGCAGAACTAAGGTAAAACACCTAATATTGTTTTCAATAACCACTAGCCTTGACACTTATGGCTTATACATAGTACTCTTAACCACGTCTTCAAGTATTTTATTATAATTGACATAAATTACCTATAACATATAGACCTCAGAATCTACATCTGAACTTGAACAGGTGTTTGCCTGTCCGCGTAGTATCCATAACAAATAAATATTAAACTATGCGAATACTAAATCTTGATGACGATGTAGGCAGAGGTTTCCTATTGTACACCCACTTATTGCATATTTTATTAATTTCATTGCTGTACCTACAGAGCTTGTAACAATACTTTAAAGTAACATCAACCATGACTTATACCAATCATGCGTTTTGGTAAAATTTTACATTATTATGTAATTTTTTATTTGAAAAACGCCCAGAATGTAACTTATATTTGAATATATAATTTCCGGGAACAACAATTTGTTGATCACACAAAGATTTGTTCTGAATAGGAATCGAAATCGAAGAAAAAACGCAGTCAGTATGATAACTTGTTAGTACAGAAAAAACGTATCTCAGGTAAAAAAATCTTACGATCCTCGTGTTTGATTGATCTTGTCCGTTTAAAATATATAAAAAAAATATCTATACAATTTTTCGTGACTTAAGCAATTATTAAGTTATCATTTACTTTAAAAAACTGTGGGAATAGGAGATACGCGTTATTGTATAAAAATCCAGTTGAACATACATATTTACGTGACTACAAACCGTGGACTAATGCTATAGGCTCGTCCTTTTCAATGCGAATTATGTTTATAATTTACAAAACATGTATCAAATATCAGGTACTGGTTATGTTTCCTGCTACATACATATGCTATTTTTTCTTATGACTACTTAGAAATATAGTTAAACATTATTTTTGATATTTTCGTGTTCCAATACTTAATTGTCTTTTTTCTTACTGAAAGGCAAATACATAATTATATCAGAATGACAGTAAAATATATGAGATCCTTTACCAAGTCTTGTTCATGGTGTATGTACCTAACTTACCATCAGCATTAGCTGAAATACGTCTTCTGCTCTGGTCAATTGTAGTCTTTGCGATTATTTCACAGGAAATTCAAAATATGCTGCTTTCTCACTCCGCATTAGCTGATCTTAGCATTTGAAGTTGAATTTTTATTTTATTATAGTACGGGGCTGTTTTCCTTGATTTATGTTGTTATAAGCTATGAACATTTTTTTTCAAGGTGTGATGTTGTTTACTCGTATTTAGAAGTAGGAATATATTTCGTATACATAGGCCTTCACATCTCATACGAAGGAAGGCGAAACTGATTCAGACATATTTGTCTTGTTACGGAAGCAACAATATTATTTGATGTGGGCGCACAGCCTTCTGCCTATTTAATATTATATAGAATTATATTAATTATTCAATCAATATTTTAATAATCATGAGCTACTCGTTATCTAAGATTAGTTCCATGTTCTTTTATTTATTGGATTCACACAAAGGATTTTCATAAAATTAAAAAAAAAACTAATTTTTACTCGGCTCTTTATATTTAAGAGAACTAAGAGAGCGAACTTAACGACTAACGAAAGTGAAAGAGTAATTTAACAATATTGATCACCGAACGAACTTATCAGCACACGTCAACCGATATGGGCACACACTCAAAGTGTATTAAGCCTTACGTCATGAACGAAGTTGCAAGCCGTCATGTGGGTTCGTGTACTTCGCGTGTACGAATGTGGTATCAAATCGGGCGTAAAATGCGTCCGCGAGCCCGTGCGAGCTCGCTTGCGCCATTCACTTTCACGCGCTCGCCGCCACAGCGCCAGCGAACGAGCCGGGTACTTCGTATACTGAAAGTGGGCTGGCAACGAACAATGCCTCTACGCAATTTCTCTCCTCACAAACAATTCCGTATCTGATTCCTAATGCATCTTGTTTTTAATTCACTTCACAAGCTATCTAACTAGAAGTCATAAGGCAAAATTTTATCTTTTCTACGTAGACGAGAAATGAGTATATTTTACATACAAGCTCTAGTGTAACCAGTTTGTAAGTGCGACATTGTTTTTGTAGGCTAGTATCATTGGACATAATAAATTAAAAAGAGTTAAGTACTTCTTGTAATATTACACACTTTTATATGCAATTTCTCCGTTCTACACCTTGAAGTTATACAGTACAAAGTGCTTAATTTTAAATGTTGAAAAACAAGTTATCTATATTCTACTTCATGGCTACGTAAAAAAGGCAATTTACGTGCTTAATTCAAAAACCTGATTGTTTTTCTTTTTTTTTTTTGCTAAACATATTATTATATTAACCGCTGAGTGCGTTATTTTAAGCAGAAAACATTCATACTTTATCCTGAGAAGATACACCAGTAATTACAGTGTACTATTTCCCACAGAATTAACACCATGATTACACTATTTCTATAGAAGAATAAAGTACTTTCTCGATCAAATTAAGGCCATAACGTGTTAATTGTATTTTATAGCCACAAACAGCAAAAAACGCCTAACATAATGGTTTACGAGTTAAGGAAATCTTTGTAGCAACAGATCATTTGCAGTAATTATCTATTTAACATCAAAATTAATTTTATGTTTGATCATCTAAAATAAATACACTTTTTGTCAATTTAGTTTGTAGTGTTAGGTTAGAGAATTATCTGCCGGATCGCCTGCATTGTATTGCTTAAGTTAATTAAACTACACGTATAACAATGCAAGGTTACTAATTTGATTCGTTTCTTTGGACCTTACGCAATCATCCTTACTTATAAGGACGTGATCAAGAAGACTCGAGCGAGTGAAATACGATAGTACTGGCTTAACTAGCGGGGCCATAAAACTGGCATGCTGCCGGTTATTGTAGTGAATGTGTTCTGCTTAGATCTCGATAGCTCAGCACAAAATTGCATTGGTATTATCGATAATAATCGATTGAAGTGAGTGGCGCGTGTATCATTGCAAACGGTACCAGTAGTAACTCTAGCGGTACAATCCATCTGTTTCAACAGCAATAGCGGAATTGTATACAAGTTTACATTGTGTGTGTTTATCAGCCATACATTCACATGACAACTAGTTCCTTACTCAAATAAGTACTTACTTAACATGTTTAAAACGTACCATTTAAATATATTTAATATATTTATCCAATTCGACAGTTTCCTCAATAATTGTTTTTCGTAGGCTTGTTGAGAATGACAACCCGGATCCGGGTCAGAACAGAAATGTAAATATTTAACATTGTGTCGCCAATAACTAAGGCGTTAAACTGTAGGCGGCACCATTTTTTGTGGAACTATTCGAATGTGTTCTTTACTTCCTTTATTTTTATCAAAGGACAGATGTGATTTATAGAAATAATACTCAATACCTTTTATACTGTATCTTATTAAAACTTCGACAAATCAGGTTTACTAAATCAAAACGAACCTTGCTTCTTTTATTTAAGTATATGTCAGATCTTTAAGGTAAGGTAAGTTATAGTAGTGTTGAGATTTTTATAATAAGTTAAATAAACATTTGTTAAAAGTTTATTTATGTTAACATTTTCAGGCTCAATTGTATCTCTCTTTAATGAAAGACTCATTAAAGCTAGATACAATTGTAATTTTTTATTATAATTTTCGTAACCTCTTAAAAACTAATTCGTTAAATGGTTAGTTGAATTTAAATATCTCTTTGATTATTTTAGTCCCCGACATATTAGACGTAACGGTACTGCATGTATTGATAGCATCTATTAAAGGAGAAAGAGCGGTTAGGCCAAGTCCAAGTTCCGGTGACGGCGGACGGCGGCGGCGACCGGCGACCGGCGCGCTATGCACTCCGTGCCGGGAATACTAAACGAGCTTCGCCGACAGTGCCCGAGGGACGGACAAGTGGAGCGACCGCTTTGTACGCCACATTAAAGTGACAGAATCACTTAAACTATATTGTTCTTCCTTATTTAATGATATTTCGGAAAACAGTTTCGTAACAGAAGTTTTTTACTTTATTAGAATTATACATATATGTGATCAGTTTAGATTTTCAATCACCGACTTTAATGAAATTTAACTATTCCATCATACATATAGATAGGTATATCTTAAGTTTTATATATCAGTGTAAACGCAATATAACCATTATATAGTATATAATACATATTAGCATACATTTACAAGTTATGATTCAATATAGGCAACAGCTGTCTACATATTTGTAATTCAGTAACTGTGTTGGCAGTCTACCATTAGATAATTAATATGTACGAAGGTTAATGTTTACATAAGCACGTCCCACATCAGCTGTAATCAACTTTGACAATGAACAAACCCTAAGTAGAAAATCTAAAAAAAGCAAACATTTATCGTTATTATGAAACTCGTTGAAGTATAAGAAAAAAAATTATGAGCCAGATATTGAAGACTAGCAAGCGGGCAAGCGCAATAAGAAATGATATACTGTAGCAGGAGAAGGAACGTTTATGTCAATAAGAATGTGATACTCCCTCTTGCCTCACACTGGGCGAGAGAAGTAATTTGATTTCCGCTTTAAAAAACACATTATGAACTCAACTAGTCTGACTTTGTATTTAAGCATTAAAACCAAATAACACCAGTAACCATCGGCAGGCTTGTTTTAGAACTGGAACTGGACTGGATAAACTAATTTGAAAACCTGCTTTATAACCTTTTATAAAAAAAAATCAAATCTTAAACAAAGATTGTCACTGTCTTTGGTCAAATGGTCAGAATTTTAACTACCGAAACGTTGTCGAATTTCCTACATATTACAAATTCATCTTGGACATTATTTATTTTTTTATTATAGGCTTCTCAACAATAAGTACACTATACTATATAATTTGCACATTTTAAACCTAATTCTAAGTGTCCCATTACTTATAGAGAAGCACTTATGAATTAATAAAGTGCATACTGGCATTTATTTTTATTTATTTATAATTTAGTGCACACATGGTTCGCAAAGGTACGTTAGGCGGACTTAATGCCATATGGCATGTTGGGCAAGTCAACCTTAGAGTAGATAAACTAGGAATATAACAATACAATTGTAGACAAATGGATGAAATAGGTATAATAAAACGAATGAAATATACATATACAACATGATAAAACAAAATTCATTGACAATCCTCTTCTTAATTGTAATAAATGCTATCATAATTTTGAAATTACATTATTATAATGCATTAGCTGTTTTTCTCAGCCACCACTTAGTTGTCTTGTCAAAGCTCTTTCCTTTCATATGTCCTTGTGTTGGCCTTATAAACCAATTACTATCAAGAATATTGACAACATTTTCTAATATTTTACTTAACTGGCATGGCTATTTACTTCCGAAAAATAATAATTTTGGACAGAAAATTACTTGTGATAAAACTAAAACGAATTTGGAATAATTCTCTTTACTATAGGGTAAAGAAAACAGTTTTACGACTTTTGAACTTATGTAGAGTAATAATTATCATGCTCAGAGAAACTGACTTTACACAGGAATGTTCGTTTTAAATGGATATAGAACAATTTTCATTGACTGGACGTTAAACCTGGAATTATGATTGAACATTTACAAACAAATTGTTTTACCGTAATTTCTACATTGGATTTAAATTAATACTGTAAAAAAATATGAGTGATAACGTGAAAATCGTTACGTCTTTTTTCTTTCACACTATTATTTTTATCGCAAATTCCACTTAAATATTAGGGGAAAGGAAAGAAATATTTCGTAGGCTTTTAGTTTCCAATGAAAAAAAAATACCACAAGCTGAAAATAAATTAACAAATTGTATTTCTAAAACTCGTCCTTCTTTATACTTATTGGTACTGATACATTTACGTCATTGTTCTAGACAGGTCCTTACGACCTCAGTTTTGGCAAGAAACTGGTTCAAAAGTGAGAAAAATGCTCGACAACATTTCGCTTTAAAATTATTACGAAACGATTCCACGTATGTTACCTAACTAGATCAGAGATTCAGAATAAATTACTTTAAAACCGAAATATGCTTAATTGGAGTTTCCGTTCATAATTTAATTGAAACGTCATAATAAGGTAAAGAGGATCTGATCTAGATATGTACAATGTACCTACATATATAGATGCAATTTAAAAGGCAACTTACGTAATCAGACCACGCAGATCATTGCTTTGAATAGGCAAATAAACATTATTATTCCCTTTAGGTAATTTAAATACAAGTGTTGTCTACGACCGAGCTTAGGTTACAGAGCCAAGGTGTTTTAGTTAGTATTCTATTAATACGTAATCTTTATAAATACAAATGAATAGCCTAAATGTGTGTATAACTTGTCCGAAAACATCGAATTAAATAATTATGTTTGGTTGTGTTTATCATTATCAAGACATAGTAAGCATATTGAAATAAAATTTTCAATATTCTGTGAAAAATATAAAAACGAGAAGTAGGCGGTACATATTATATTAATAAATAAACTTTATCAATTGTAAACCACGATTGTGCAGTCGTGCATGTAACACGAAGAGTTATATTCCACCTACTTAACTTTCATCTATAAATCTACACTTAAAACAATGACGCTGACGAATTTTAACGTTAAAGTCTCAGAGAAAACAAAAGAATCATAAAATATAGCATACTTATGCAGAAAATGACAAAGATAGCAGGAACGGTACAGAGAAAGAATTCTCACCCATCTGTGGTTCTAACTTAATGGGATGGTAGATGCGCAGTTTCTCACAGGCAATGGGATATTGATGTGTTGTTGCGTGAGAATATGGGATGAGTTAGGACCGTACATTATAGTTGTATTACGGAATGACATAACGGGCCAATGTCGCCGGTCGGCCGACCAGGGACGGCGAACTGCGACAGGTGCACACGGCGCCCGCGCGTCTTATATGGCGCCACCTGCGTAGATACAATACCGACGCGAGCCCATCCACGAACTATCATGTTACATTATTTCAACATTAACACTCCATCTTCACATCAATACACAATCGTGGAATGTGAGGGTATTACCTACGTACCTACATCATAATTTTATTTTTGTTCTGACTTAAAAAAAAATTAAATTCTTATACCTAACCTTTGTACCTCAAAACTATTTGTATGCCTAAATATATTAATTACTTAATAAATTTAGATCTGAATCTGTGTCTAAGTTTTTAAGATGTCTTAATTCACTTTCTGGTTGGAAGGAAGCAAGTTTACCGGTTACTTTTAAGATTTCAACGTTTTCTAACCGTAAATGATTAAATTTACTACGCTAGAACAACTATAAATAATGAAGCAAGTACAAAAAGATATAAATGTGCGTGTTTCGTGCTTAAATATGCATCGTACTAAGAGGTTAAAAAATAGGAACATTGTTACGTTCGGATACAAACGTTTTAATCAAAATTTATAATGGATTAGTTGCTCACAAGGAAGACGAGTGAGTACGGGTAAACAATATACCGAACGTAGCAAAATGAGTGGTATCTATTTCGAAACGTGGAATAAAAAACTTCTTGAATCTTGATCTACTGGTGATTACAATTACCGCTCGGTGGGAACATACTGCATTAAGAACAAAGGGGCCTTGAAGGAGGCGCTACGCTCGGGTGCAACCTCGTCTACTCATGCTGTGCCTTTGTTGCTATTCTCACTATCCTTCTCAACAATAACCCACGCGGATAATTAATGCAATAGGCCGAGGGCTAATGAACTGCAACCATTATGAATTTAATTATTTTTACTAACAACCTCTGGTTTTTTCTCACTGTATGTTGTAAAACTGTACTTGTAAATAAAATTATTGAGTGCCTGCCTGTTCTCAGCAATCGAAGTACTTACCCTACTTCTAAATAAGCAGTAGGTAGAGTAGATAGTAAATTAGTATTTTATAAACTTACTTCTGCTAAATTAGAGTTGCTAAATTAGGTTTTAGTTCTAAAATGAAATCCATACCATACCATAATGAAAACTATACAAATTTATTTTTAAATGTGTAAAGCAGGTTGATGACAATAACACAGATATTAGATAAACATACCGGCATGGTAGGTGAACTGAAAGGTTCCAAGATGGTTATAAAAAAAGATAAAAAAAAACCGTAACAAAAGCATTCACGGTAAAAGGAACAACCAGACCGCTATATCATCTGTTATGTATCTTACTACTATTTCCTATCGGGTTATCCTTTCAATCTTTATGTCCTTGGCCTTTGATAGATAGCCCCTGATAATATTACGTAATAGTTTAACATTTATCTGATGTAAATTGGCAAAAATCACTCTTTGTCGCATGTTATCTTTTTTAAGAAACCCATTTCTCCTTTCCCAATAATGAATTTGATGAGTAAAATAATAAATGATTTGTTTAAGATTACTTTACCAGTGTCGGTTTTTTGCAGCTGAGTCATCCCTACGGGAATCCACCTTACTTTCCGACCATATTGTATTTAATTGCTTCGCTATCAATGCCCAAACGCCATTCAACTTTGAGATGGTCTTAATAGCACCTGTTATTGTCGCTCCAAACACAACTTGGAGTGAAAGAGATAGATATAGATCTAAAGCTCTAAAGCAACAGTTATTGAATACAGTGGAACATGGGTTTTGATATGAATTTTTAAAGCTTTGTAATATTTTTTTGAGACTAAACTAAAAAATCCAACAAATTACACAAGATGGTATACTTTAGTGTTGTTTTTATAACGTGTATGTGGCTAACTGATTGGCTCATTGTCCACTCCAAACAAATATTTAAATGTCCTAGATCTACCAAGTTATTCCGGGTTTAACTGTTTGCGTATGTGTGAGCTGCGCTTGTCAACGCATACTTAATACAGAAGTAGTTCTCAGTTTATTTAACGGATTCTAAAAGACTCATTAATTTCAAATAAACACTTAGCTACCTTAAGTAACAAGTATTTTTATTAACTAAGATTAATGTACGTAAGTAGCAAAATTAATTGGTTAATGACTCAGAGGCTAATCAGAATTAATAATGGCCGCGATGGCACTACCAGTCGCTTCGATAGTTTTATTTTAAAACTAACCACTTAGCATTGACTTATAACACTACTTATCTTTTCACAACATCTGAGTAATTATGTCGTTAAACAACTAATTACGCCAAAGTTTAAGATTTATTCCGTTGAAGCTCCTAACTAGTTTTAGCTCCTTTAATATGCCGTTTTCTTAAATCAAAGTGCAATATTTATGCTGTTAAGTATTAGAGTATACTTTATCATATTCTCTAAAACTTGTTGCACATATAAACAAAGATTAAATACAGATATATCAGTTTTCATTCAACTGTTCAAAGTGAACTTTACATACCAAACGATGGATGTACGGTATAGCGACGAAGAAGTAAATCACCAAGATTTAACTTCGTGGTCTGAAATAAATTCCAGTTAAGTTAATCCGACCAATTAACGCCAGCATGTACGAGTATTGGCGTGAAGGCGCAAAAAATATAAAGACGTCTGCACGCGAAACACAGTCTATTTTAGGAACCCTATCTCCATGGTAACGAACTCTTCACAGTTTATGCTTGTCTTTAGACAATGCAAAAAGTGTCCTCACATAGGCAACAGTTTCCAAACACGTACAATAGACAAAACGAGAAGAGAAAACGTACTTATAGTACCGCATTGTTTGTCTAAATATTCATATATGGTAAAGTATGACCAAGGCTGGCGACCACGTCATCTGTGTCACAGTGATTTTGCCAAATCGAATTTATTATGCGATTAAGTCTTGTAATATTAATTACATCCAATTGCAAAAGATCAAAAATAGCACAATGTCTTGAGTGTTTTGGTAGATGTTTCTAAGAACATTTAGATAAAATCGAATAATTCATTCGTAGTATATTTGGAAGAAGTAGTTTACAAAACTTCGTTGAAGGTTCTTTAATTTTCTCAGAGAAAGTCTTATGTCAATCTTGTTAACATATTTTAAATCAAGTTAAATTAACTTTTTCTTGAGACGTGCCTGCTTGTTAAAATTCTTCGTTGCTTAGAAGAAATAAAGTGTAGAACACATCTGTCGCAAAAAGAGATTTGTTTTCCATTTAATTATTTAGAACATCTGGCGGCTAGACTTTTTGTTCACTTTTAGTTAAATATTGTAGAATATACTTACTAAAAAAAGGTAAAATGAAATCAAATGACATAAATTCTGACCTTTACACAATCTACACCATCGAAAAATAAAAAAGGGGAAAGGACATTAGTCGAAATACGAAGGATCAAAAGATCTTTTGAGATTACTAAAAACAAGATTTGCGGCAGAAAGACATTTCCAAAAAGAAACATAAAAAACTTTTTTTTGACTAATTTAAATACAACTTTCTGTACCATGCTTCCTGCAAATAAATGAATTCTATTCTATTCAATTGTTGATTTTTTAGCCAACAAGAAATATATTCTTATTAGACTTGATTAAAATAGTAGGTCTTCGAAGCTTATATTTAGTCTCTTATTTATTGGTAATCTGGCGTCTGGCCTCTGTCTCGCCTGGTGATGGTGAGTGATGAACAGACCTACGATGGTTCACGGCTCAAATTAACCAACCTATTCACTCCGGCCTTGAAGATATCCAGGTTATATTACCCTTTGGGGAACACATAGTCCGGCAAAAAATTTCACTCTTCCACTCCACAACAATTCTTATGATAAATCTAGAGGCGAACCGCTTCGTGCTGTTATATTTATTGAACTGTTTAGCAAGGATACAGATAGAATACAGAATCTTTGATTTGTCTTTAACAAACCTTAGTCTTGTAGGAAACAAGACTTCAAAAAGTCACTGTTCAATCGTCGACTAGACTTTGTGTAGATGACACGACGACACTGATGAAACTTTTATATAAGGTAAAATAACGAACACTATTCCGAAACTCATTTTAAAGTTACAAGTTATTTTTTTTCAAATTTTATTTATAATTACAAATATGACGCTCCATACACAAAGCAAAAATAAATTAAGATATTTAAAAAAGAAGAATTAAGGCAAAGATGATCTCCGCCTTAGACCCTCTTTAACTAAACTAATAAGTACTTTAACTCTTTCACAAAGTGGAGACGATAGTAAATTTATATAAAAACCTATAATGTAACATTCTTTACCAAAAAATCGATATCTTAACTCCTCATTCAGTATAAGTTTAAACGAGGATTTTTCTGTAAAATATCTGTTAAAAATTACAGCAAAGGCAAGCATTAATAGCATAAAGTTTTGTACACTAGCATTAGCATT